CCTAACAAGCAGTTCCACGATGTGCGCATGTCCATCAGCTGCCGCCATGTGCAAAGGGGTCCTGTCCACTTTGGTCCTGGCATCCCTGCTAACGCCTGCTCGAAGGAGCACTTCTGCTGTGGAATAATGACCGTACTGGGCTGCAAGGTGGAGGGGTGATGTTCCAAGCTGTGGGAAAATAATACTCATTGAATATCTACAATGTGCAAAATCCTATAGCATTGATGGATTCATATGAAGAAGAGTTAAATCCTATGGTTCCTATCTTTGGAGAGAGAATCTAAATGGACAGATAGTGTTTAAGAAATAATTTATCTTAAAAATTAATATACAAGCTGGGTGGGTAGCACACATTGTAATCCCAGTGGCTCAGGAGGCGGAGACAGGAGGATCTTAAGTTCAAAGCCAGCCTCAGCAATTACATGAGGCTCTAAGCAACTTAGTGAGACCCTGTCTCAAAATAAGAAATAAAAAGTGGTGAGGCTGTGGTTCAGTGATTAAGCACCCCTGAATTTAATCCCTAGTAACAAAACAAAACAACATAAAAATACAATAATAGTCCTGCATGGTGGTGCACACCTGTAATCCCAGCAGCTCAGGAGGCTGAGGCAGGAGGATTGAGAGTTCATAGCCAGCCTTAGCAAAGGTGGGGCACTTAGGTGCACTGTATGTCAGTTGGTAGAGTGCTTGCCTAGCATGTACAAGGCCCTGAGTTCAATCCCCAGCACCCACCCCGCAAAAAAGACGAGGTACTAAACAGTAAAACCCTGTCTCTAAATACAATATAAAATAGGGCTGGGGGGCTGGGGCCGGGGCTCAGCAGTAGTGTACTTGCCTGGCATGTGTGAAGCACTGGGTTTGATTCTCAGCACCACGTATAAATAAATAAAAAATGATAAAGATCTATCAACAACTTAAAATAAATTTTAAAAAAATTTACAGGAGCTGGGGCTTTAGATCAGTGGTAGAGCGCCTGCCTTGCACCTGTGAGGCACTGGGTGCCATCCTCAGCACCATGTAAAAATAAAGATATTGTGTCCATCTACAACTAAAAAAAAATATTAAAAAAAAAAATCTCAATAATAATAATACACAAATATGCAGATAAATATACACTAATTAAATAAGTATGCAGTATAATGGCTATAAGTCAGGTAGATTTATCAGGTTAAGACTCTCTAAAGAGGGGCGAGAGGCTGAGGTTGTGGTTCAGTGGCAGAGTGCTTGCCTAGCATGTGTGAGGCACTGGGTTCGATTTTCAGCACCACATAAAAATAAATAAAGGTCCATCAACAACTAATAAAATATTTAAAAAAAACTTCCCTAAAGAACATTATTTTAAACAGGAAGAAGGTTTTTAAAAAATGCCAAGCATGGTAGTGAATGGCTATCCGGAGGTTGAAACAGAGAGATTCCAAGTTTGAGGCCACCTTCAGCAAAACCCTATATCAAAATTTAACAAAAATTAAAAGGGCTGGGAATGTAGCTTAGTGGTAAAGCGTCCCTGGGTTTAATTTCTAGTACTAAAAACAAAAAACAAAAGGATCAAAAAGAGCATTCTGAGCCAGGGATAGAGGAAAGGGCTAGACAGGTTCAAAACAATTCTTAAGAAAAGGGCAGAGGGGGGCTGGGGATGTGGCTCAAGCGGTAGTGCGCTTGCCTGGCATGCGTGCGACCCGGGTTCGATCCTCAGCACCACATACCAACAAAGATGTTGTGTCCGCCGAGAACTAAAAAATAAATATTAAAAAAAAAATTCTCTCTCTCTCCTCTCTCTTTAAAAAAAAAAAAAAAAAGAAAAGGGCAGAGGAACACGTGGAATTTGAGGTACAAATTTGGTTCGAATAGAGGTTTGTTGCTACAGTAAATAAGAATAAAAAGACTGATGAGATGAAAAGACCGATGAGGTAAAAGTTTAGCAATACCATTCCAACAGCAATAAGCAAGACTGTGTCATCTCAAAATAAATCTTATATCAGCATCCATTTTGGAATTGAGATTTATTCCTTTGTGTGTGTGTTACACCCTTTATTTTAAGCCTGTTCAGTTTATTCTGTGTTTCCCATATATTCCACTTCTGTGCCTGACTGGATTTAATTCATATTGCTCTTTTCACATCTATGTATAGAAATGCTAATCTCAAAGGTTTCCTTTTCTGCCTTTTTATAAAGTGCTAAGAACCTGTTGGCCTCTGAAATTATGAATTAATAACCCCACAAGAGGTCACTCGCACATCAAAATTGTTAAAATTATTCAGGGCTTACAAATATGTGAATGGTAAGAAGGCCTACAGGTCCTGGGTTCAATCCCCAGCACCAAAAAAAAAAAAAGAAGGCCCACATTACAACTTCCAAAACATGCTGATCTCCAGGCCGGTTGTCTAGGCTCATTAAATTATACATTCCTAGCTAGGTGCAGCGGTGGACTCCTGTAATCCCAGTGACTCAGGAGGCTGAGGCAGGAGGATCACAAGCTTGATGTTAGCCTCCACAACTTAGTGAGACCCTGTCTCAAAATAAAAAATAAAAAGGGCTGGGGATATAGCTCAGTGGTAGAGTGCTCTTGGATTCATTCTCCATATTGAAAAAAATTACATCTCCCTCTTTAATGTTTTCCAAGAGTGGCCATCAAAATGTAAAGACTCTTCCTTATGAACCAGGACATGTGAAAGGAAAGGAAAAGAAATACACTCTTGGGGATTGGCTGTGTAGTTCAGTGTTAGAGTACTTGCCAAGCATTTATTTATTTATGCATGCATAAATAAATAAATAAATAGAAATGTACTCTTATTAGGGGCTGAGGCTGGGGCTCAGTGGTAACGCACTTGCTTAGTATGTGTGAGGAACTGGGTTCGATTATCAGCACCACATATAAAATTTAAAAAAAAAGGCTATTAACAACTGAAATAAAATGTACTCATATTCTCATTTTAACTTCTAGGTAATTATGAGGCCTACAACCCAAGAATACTTCAGAGAGAAATAAACCTTTAGGAAATACTTTAAAAAACATTACAGAAAATCACAAATATATAATACCTTATAATTATCACCTATATATCTCAGAGGAGACACTTTCAAATTGGAAAATTAAAAAAGAAAGCCACATATTCAGGTAAGATAAAGAAAATAAAACTCGTATAAGGGGAATGAGGAAGAAAGAGAATGAAGAAAAATAAATAATGTCTGTTTGGCCTTTAACAAAAAATATTGGTAAAGGCACACTTTGAATATAAGAGACCTTTCTGCTAGCTTACCCAGTCTGTGGTAAATGGGGCACCGTTTGCCATTAATGTTCTCACTTCATCATCTTGGCCTTTTCTTGCTGCTTCTAGCAACCTCTTCCCCAAGTCCACCAAAGACATCTTTATGCATAAGAGCAAAACTTTTCAGGTAGCTATAATTCAAACACAAGGAAAGCTGCCTGTAAAATGTTTTTAGAAGACTTTTAATACTTGAATATACATATGATACATCTCATTAACTGGTAGGACTCTTCTATCATCTTAAGCAATTAGATATTTGGGAAAGTTTTAGGCACTGAATGATAATTCCCTCCCTTTTAATCTCCAGAAAAACTTTGGAAATATAAGCAATATACTCTATACATACTTTCTAATATAGGGAATCAAAAAATAACATTTCATACTCTAGAAATGACCAATGGTAGAATATTATTATTTAAAAAAAAAATTTTAGTTGTCAGTGGAACTTTATTTGTATGTAGTGCTGAGATTCGAACTCAAGGCTTCACACATGCCAGGCAAGCACTCTACCACTGAGCCACAACCCTTGCCCCAGTAGAATATTATTTTAAGGAATATAATATAAAGTAATAAAATATGAACTGATTTCCAGGCAGGGACAAAGAAGTGCGCCTATATGTGAAATTGCTGCTTGATGGAAATCATGGGATTCCTTATTAGCAATTAACAACTCTTTCTAAAGGTTTATAGATCTTTGGATGCCACAATGAAATAGGACACATCAAGATTTCTAAAATAAATTGCACTGTTAATTTTTCTCATCTGTGGTATAAAGATATAATGATGGAAGTTTACAAAAAGCAAACTTTCTAGTCGAACACTGATCTGCTTCTGGGCCTGATGGCATGCCTGTAATCCCAAGGACTTGGGAGGCTGAGGTAGGAGGATAGCAAATTTGAAGCCAGCCTCAGCAATTTGGTGAGACCCTGTCTCAAAAAATATATATTAAAAGGACTGTGGGGGGAGGGGTGTAGCTCAATGGTAAGGTGTTTGTCCAGCACGTCCAAGGCCCTAGGTTTGATCCCCAGCATCATTATTAAAAAAAAAAAAAAAAAAAAAAAAGGCTGGGAATACAGCTCAGGGAATACAGCACCTCTGGATTTAATTCCCCATACAGCAACAAACAAGGTGAGTTGTTAAACTGTGGTACATGGCCAAATGCGGTGCTACACACCTGTAATCCCAGAAGCTCAGGAGACTAAGACAGGAGGATGGAAAGTTCAAGACCAGCCTAAGCAATTTAAAGAGACCCTAAGCAACTTAGGGAGGTCCTGTCTCAAAATAAAAAACAAAAAAGGGCTGGGCATGTAGCTCAGTGTTAAAGTGTCCCTGGGTTAAATTTCCAATACCATCCCCACACACCAAAAAAAAAAAAAAAAAAAAAAAGTGGTACATGGACCCCTGGTGGTCACTAACAATCTTTTCAGGGTCAAAACTATCTTTATTATAATACTAAGATATTATTTGCCTCTTTCACCATGTTAACATTTGTTCTGGTAGTACAAATACAATGCTAGATATAGCTCAGATCAAATTGTGAAAGTAATTTTCTTGTTATTACTATTATTTGCTATACTGGGGATTGAACCCAGGGCCTTGAGTATGCTAATTATTCTATTCTTCATTGCAATGTACTTTCAAGGGAAAAAAGCCAGTTCTATTTAAAAACGTCCTCGATGAAGCAGTAAATATTACTAATTTTATTAAATCTTAACACCTAAACACATGTGTTTATAATTTGTGTGTGATGAAATGGGACATATATATTAAGCACTTCTGCATACTTCTGTATGGTGGATTTCTTGAGAAAAAACTGTACAATTAAGTTGCAAATGAAATAACAGCTTTTATCATAGAACATCTTGTATTATTTATTTAGTGGTACTGAGGATCGAACCTAGATGTGCTCTACCACTGAGCTATATCCCCAGCCCTTTTTATTTTATTTTTAAGACAGAGTCTTGTTAAGTTTCCCAGGCTGGCCTCAAATTTGCAACCTTCCTGCCTCAATCTCCCAAGTAGCTGGGCTTATAGGCATGCATTACAGCACCGACTCATAGAACACTCTTTGTATGAAAGAATGAACAACAGACAAATCAAAGACTCGGGTATATGACAGACGTTTATTTAAAAATGAACCAAGTGGGGGCTGAGGCTGTAGCTCAGTGGCAGAGCACTTGCCTAGCACGTGTGAGGCCCTGAGTTTGATCCTTGGCACTGCATAAAAATAAATAAATAAAGGCATTCTGTCCATCTATGACTATCAAAAAAAAATTTAAAAAAGAAATATGAAAAAGGGCTGGGGATGTGCCTTAGTAATTAAGTGTCCCTGGGTTCAATCCCTGGTACAAAAAAAAAAGGAAAAATGAACCAAGTGGGCTGGGATATAGCTCAGTGGCAGAGTGCTTGTCTAGCACGTGTGAGGCACAGGGTTTGATGCTTAGCACCCCATAAAAATAAACAAATAAAATAAAGTATGTTGTCCATCTACAACTACAAAAAAATTTTAAAATGAGTGAGCCAAGTAAGCCTGACACTAGAAGGAAAACAACTGACAATAATTATTAGTAAATATCATTAATTTGAGCTTTCAGGCAAAAATTAGAATTTTGGAAAGCCTGGGTTTAATTGCCAGCACTAAAAAAAAAAAAAAAGAAAAAAGAAAAAAGGAAAGCCTAAATCCACCAAGGTGAACTCGATAGCTTACTACTTTTTAATGACTTTTTTGATGAAATCAGTGATAATATTAATGAATGTGCTTTTTGATATTGTAAAATAAAATGGACCAACATTTGGATGATATGCATAATTTGGTGAACCAATACTTTCCAATGACCATTGCCTGAAGTTATAAAATCCTGCACAAGTAAAACATTCAAAGTGAAAGATAGACCAAAAGGTTTTAAGGTAAAAGAACACAAGTTCATTGACATGGTTTCAGAATTCTCATTCGACTTTTCTGTGTGTATGTAGAGTACTAGGGATCGAACCCAGGAGCATTCTACCTTTGAGTTACATCCTCAGCCCATTTTATTTACTTTCCAGGGATTGAACCCAAGATGCTTAACCACTGAGCTACATCCCCAGCCCTTTTTTATTTTTCATTTTGACAGAGGTTTTGGTTTAAGTTGCTTAGAGACTCTCTAAGTTGCCGTGGTTGGCTTTAAACCTGCAATCCTAATGCCTTGGCCTCCTAATCCTCTGTGATTACAGGTGTGTGCCACCATGCCCAGCTGCCCTTTTTATTTTTGAGGCATTGTCCAAGTTGCCTAGGATGGCCTTGAATTTGTGAGCCTCCTGCCTCAGCCTCCAGAGTAGTTGGGTTTACAGGCTGGTAACACCTTGCCTGGCCAATTGCCATTAATTTTTTAAGAAAAAGCAGTTGTTGAGGTGGGGAAGTAGCTCAGTGATAGAGTGCTTGTTTAGAACGTACAAAGCCCCGAGGTTCATTCTCAACACTGAAAAAAAAGAAAAAACAAAAATTTACCACTTGCTAAGTTTTTGTGTAGATCAAAAAATACCGACAATTGTTTGAAAATGCTATTAAAATACTGTTTCCTTCTCCAAGTATTTATTGCAACAGATTGAATCAGAAGTAGTTCTGAAAATACAGCTAAGTCAGAAGTTAGAGATTAGTAAAAAATGTAAAACAATGCCATTCTTTCTCACAATATGTAATTTTTTTTAACTGAGATTTATTTTTCATAAAAATGTTAGTGGTAGAGTGCTTGCCTAGCATGTGTGAGGTCCTGGGTTCAATAACTAGCATTGCAAAAGCAAAAAACAAAAAAAGTCTAATCGTGTTAACATTTAATGGATTAATTAACTAATAAACCTTTTTTTTTTTTGTAGTGCTAGGGTTTGAATCCAGGGCCCAGTACATGCAAGGCAAGCACTCTATTAACTGAGTATATCCTCAGCCCAATAAATTTTTTTTCTTTTCTTTTTTTTTAGTTATAGGTGGACACAATGTCTTTATTTTACATTAGGTGATGCTGAGGGTCGAACCCAGTGCCTCACACATGCAAGGTTAGCACTCTACCACTGAGCCACAACCCCAGCTCCCAATAAATTTTTTTAAAGTATATTTTTAATTGTTGATGGACCTTTATTTTTATTTGCATGTGGTACTGAGAATCAAACTCAGTTCCTCCCACAAGCTAGGTAAGCACTCTACCACTGAGCCACAGCCTAGCCCTAATTAATGAACATTTAAAAAAATAACTTCTAAAATAATAAATATCAATAAATATGACATAATGAAGTTCTCAACGATAATTTTTAAGAATGTAAATGGATCCTGAAACAGGAAAATATAAGAATCACTGGCTTAGGCAAATAATTTAGCTGCTGTGTGATTTTTCAATCTGAACTTTGTATTCAAACTACCGAGGTTGTTGCCTTGCATGCCAAGGCCCTGGGTTTGATCCCCAGCACCACAATTAAAAGAAAGAAAAGAAAGAAAGAAAAAGAAAAGAACACCCCCCCCCCCAACAAATTACCAGGGTTGTTTGTTCAACATAAATATACCTAGCTGGGAGTGGTGGCACAGTGCCTCCTGCTATCCCAGCTATTCAGGAGCCTGAGGGAGGAGGATGGCAAGTTTGAGGCCAGCCTGGGTAATGTAGCAAGACCTTGCCTCAAAATAAAAATAAAGAGCTGGGGATGTAGCTCAGTGGTAGAGTATCCCTGAGTTCAATCCTCAGTACTGAAAAGAACAACAGAAAACAACACAAACCAAAATATATATATTTGAGATCTGCATCCAGGTTCTCTGAATAAGTATGCCCAGGAGAATAAGAACTTCATTTGTTTTTTAAAGTACATGGTGTGTGTGTGGCAGTGAGTGTGTTTGTGTGTGTGTGTGTGTGTAGAACACAATACCTTTATTTATTTTTATGTGGTGCTGAGGCTCAAACTGAGGCACGTGTGCTAGGCCACTGCTCCGCCACTGAGCCACATCACCTATTTTGTTTTATTCAGAGGCAGGGTCTCACCGAGTTGCTGAGGCTGGCCTTGAACTACCGACCTCCTACCTCGGCCTCGCGGTGCTGGGATTGCAGGAGTGCACTTTTTATTTTGAGACAGGGTCTCTGGGATTGCTTAAGGCCTGACTTCAGCTGCGCCCTGCTAAGAGGCTCCGGCTTCATTCCCACGGAGCTGGGGTGTTCGCAGCCCGAGCTTGCCTCCTCAGCACTGGGGACCCCCTCGGTCTTCTCAATAGACTCGCGGAGCCCTGCGCTGCCGGCGCTCTCGGAAGCACTCTAGGATCAGGTAATCACTTTGGTTTTCAGAAGTACCGGGCGGGCGTCCGCTCCTCGTCGCTAGCAAGGCAGGTGGGGAACAGACGCTTAGGAGCAGGGCTGGGCGGTCGGACGCGGCGACGCAACGCGTCCCGGGAGGCCAGAAGCATGACGTCGTCGACGGTCGCCACAGCACGTCCTTCCCCGTGATAGAAAGAGGAGCAGAGGGGAGGAGAGGCCTTTAGGAGAGGAGTGGGAGACGGCTCAGGAATCGTGAGGCCGGAGGAAAGGCTGAAGGGTAGAAAAGGGACAGGAAAGCACCAACTCGAGAGTCCGCGGTCGGGAGATCCTTCCCTCGGGATCGCACACGTCCCCGCTGGGCGGTCAGCCGTCCAAACGAGCGTCCGGGGATGCAGCCGGGCTTTCCTGCTCGCCCCCGGCCTCGCTGCGCCGCCGGAGTCAGGGCCGCCGGGCCGCCGACCTCCGCTCTACAGGGGCCTCCAGCTCTCCACACCCGACTTCTGGCTTTCTGAGCCGGGAGCCCGTAGGAGGTCGGGAGCCAAAGTTGGCGCCCCGTGCCGCGCGCCCTCTAGCGGTCACCCCTGTGGCCTTGGCTTCCCGTGGTCCAGCTCCGCGGCCCCAGGTCTCGCACCCACCCCCTTCCTCACCTCCTCCAGTCCCCTCCCCTTCCTCCCGCCAGCATCCCCTTCCTCTGCGTCCCCCTCCCCCGCTGTGCCCGCTCAGCCGCGGGGGCGCCTCTCCGAGCGCACCCTGCGGTCTGGGGTTGCACTGCGAAGCGGGGCGGCTTCCTCCGGGACCTTCCACTCGAGCCCTACGCCCCCGAGAGCCCGCGCATCTCTTGGCCTCCTCACCTCCTCGTCCGGGACGCTGTCGGCTCCACTTTCAGCGAGCCCTCCAGTTTGGCCCCATTTCCTTCAGAAGCTAAGACTCCCTGTCAGTGACGGTTACTTTTTGGCCTTTTCATGTATGCATATTTTGGGGGCCCTTACCCCCCCCTCGTGGAGAAATGGAGGCAACAAAATGGCGGACCCGGAAGTGAAAGCGCAGGAATATAACTTCTGGCGGAGGAATCTCTGGTGGAAAACATTAGGGATATCACGTTTCTATTCGAGCGGGAAGGAAGTGCATCTCTTAGGCTCATTTATTTATTATTATTATTATTATTTCATGTCTTCTAGAGGTCTCTTGATCCGGGAAAGTGTGTGTCGTGGGTGTTCTGGGAGGACTATTTAATGAGGCGGATGATTATGAATTACGTTCGTATAGTTCCGGTAGGGGACGGACTCTGATGGCTGTTTGGCGCCAAGAACTTGGTCAATTGATTAAGTGGGATTATTCCTTGGTCCGGGAATTTGCCTTCTACTTGTCGGCGGCTTCTACGGAGGACTAGCGTTAGGGTTGACGGGAAAGGCCTGCTTCCCGGTCCCTGTCTCGGGTAAAGCTGCGCGGGACACCCCTGACTGCGCGGCCTGGCTGGTGGACGCGTTCCCGTCGCGGCGCGCCGGGGAGGTGTCGGGAGGCGCGCTGTCGGAGCCGACTGTCGGCAGTCTCTGCCAGAGGATGGAGCAGGAGTTTGCGGATCCTTTTGGTCCTTTAGCAGTCGATTTTCCATGACTAAAGGACGCCAGAAGCCCCGAAAGCCTTTCAGAAATCAGTAAGTTAAAAGCCAGCCTCTGCAATTTCATGAGACCTTGTCTCGGGGGAAAAAAAAAAAAAGGGCGGGGGTTGTCGTGGCTCCGAGGTAAAGCCTCTCTGGGTTCAATCCTTAGTTCCAAAAAGATCTCAAAAAATAAATTACAATAGAAAGGACACGTCATTTGACCTTTCTGGTCCCATTCTTTATTAGACTTTAGTCTTGGTTGTTGATGGTGGCAATCTTCCCTTCATCTAAGTCATATCGATGTTGTCTTTAAATTATTTATGGCCTTTTAATACTATATATATATTTTTTGTCTAGCTCAGTGTTGTAGTTTCAACACAAAAACTATTTGTTTGTTTCATAGTTTTTTTTTTTTTTAGAATGAGGTGAGTTGCAAATACGCAGATAACATATTTGAGTGTCAGTTTCTTAGTCACTTAAAATTTTACCTGAAATATGTTAGTGGTCCTTGGGGAAGCAGAAGAGTGATTGGTTGTAGGTGAAGTTGATTTCACCCTTTTTATCTAAAGTTCACCATTTAATGAACATGCTATTCAAATCATTTTTCCACAAAGTTGAATGTGATAAAATGTATATATGCTGAATGTGAAATTGAAAGCATGGCTAACTTCAGTGATCTGTACTGCTTGCTTAATAAAGAGAGAAAACTGTAATACAATCCTGGGATTGAATGTCTTTATTAAATAAGTGAGTAAATGGCAGCACAGATCAGCAATATTTTTGGAAGGAGTGGGAACAAGGTGTAGGGGCAGAATGTAATTGCTCATTTGGGGTCTTAATGTAGCTTTAAAACTGTGCCTGAGGCCCACTGATTAGTAGACCATACGTTGCAAATGAGGAATGGGACTAAACCTTATGGTTTTCTTTAGAAGACCGAATCAGAACCTTACAAATTATCCTAATAGCAAGGTTTCTTAAGATTTGAAATCTGATTTTTTTCAGCTAGAATTATCAATCCAAAATTAAAAGCAAAGTTGTAAGCTGAAGAACGTCCTTTTGGACTATGGAGGCTGACAAAAGGATAACAAATTCAAGACCAGCATGGGCAACTTAGACCCTGTCTCAAAAAAAAAAAAATAAATAAAATGGGTTAGGATGTAGTTCAGTGGGTTGGATCCCCAGTACTGCAGAAAACAAAGAATGCTTTTTGGAAGGAAAGAGCTTCAACTATTTCTGAAAAGTCTTGAGTGCTTTTCCATATTTTCATAATATATCATTTCCTCATTTTATAACTTTACCCCTAATTTTTCTGGGGAAAAGAATGTATTATAAGAAGGAATAGGATTAAAAAAAGATCATCACCTTAACGTTTTGGAAATCATTCTGTTGTGACAAATCATCTTAAAAATTAGAAGGTTTTCATTAACCCTGGAAAAAATACTTAAATTTACTGGTAACTACAGGAAACTACAAAGGTTTGAGCAATCTTCTTTTTTGTGGTGCTAGGGATCAAACCCAAGGTCTTAACATATGGTTTGAGCAATCTTTGAAGCCGATTAAAAATGGGATCAAAACCATATTCCATTTTGTACTACTCTACTACTCCCTGATGTCTCCACAAAGCCTGTTTTCTGGGGTTAATAATCCAGGGGGTGGGGGTGGGGTTTCTGTTATCCAATACTCCATTGCTTTAACCCTTTACTTTGGTTTGAGGGCTTTTGAGAGAAATGGAGTAGATAGATAGATAGACGAATGAATGAACGAATAAATAAATAAATATATAAATAAATAAAACAACTGGCAGATTCATCAGCACCACCAACACAATAGAAGGAAGAGAACAAGATTAATTTGGGAAAGGAATGAGAAGAAAGGGGCTTGAAAGAGAAGATAATAAGGGCAAGGTGGTGGGAGACCGAAGTCTTGGCCTTAGAGCAAGTCCAGTTCGAAGGAGTGGATGCTGGCAATGGGAGCTCTCCAGAAGTTGAAGGTGCTGTACTCTAGGAGGGTATCGCCTTCTGGGTTTTTCTCTTGCTCTGCTCCTGTTGCTTGCCCGATCATTTTGCCAACGCTGCTGTCCTTGATCTTGTAGGTGGGTGTATCTGACAGACCCAGGCCTTCCAGCTCCGAAAGATCCAGTTCTGGTATGGGCATCCTCCAGAAAAGAAAGGAGCTGTACTGGCTACTCACAGGGTCCCTCATAGTTTCCTGGAAAGAAACCACTTGTCATTCTTTATGCTAAAGCAACCTCTTTTTGGCTCCTGGCTCTTGCTTAGAAACCCCATATCTCAGCTGGGCGTGGTGGCCCACACCTGTAATTCCAGAGGCTTGGAAGGCTAAGGCAGGAGGATCATGAATTCAAACCAACCTAACAGACTGTCTCAAAACATAAAAAGGGCTGGGGTGTGGCTCAGTGGTTAAGTGCCTCTGGGTTCAATCTCTATTACCCGCCCCCCCAAAAAAGGTGGGCCATGGTGGCCCATGCCTGTAATTCCAGCAACTCAGAAGGATCCCAATTTCAAAGCCAGCCTCAGCAATGGTGAGGGACTAAACAACTCAGTGAGACCCTGTCTCTAAATAAAATACAAAATAGGGCTGGGGATGTGGCCCAGTGGTTGAGTGACCCTAAGTACAATCCCTAGTACCCACCTCCCCCACAAAAAAAAGTACTGGGGGGAGGGGGTGTAGCTCAGTGGCAGAGCATACCTGAGTTCAATCTCCCCTCCCCTCACCAAAAAAGAAGCTCCGTATCCTTGTTTGCCTCTGTAAATAATCCAAGTTCCCTAGAATAAGCTTCTGGAACTCTCCCTTTATTATAATTTTCTGCCATTTCCTAACTTCTCACCTTCAAATGGTTACCTACTGCATCAAGTGGATCTTGGATCTGATTTTTGAGACCTTCCAAAATTTGGCCCCACTCTTTTTTTTTTTTTTTTAAAGAGAAAGTGGGAGAAGGGGAGAGAAAGTGAGAATTTTTAACATTTATTTTTCAGTTCTTGGCGGACACAACATCTTTGTTGGCATGTGGTGCTGAGGATCGAACCCGGGCCGCACGCATGCCAGGCGAGCGCGCCACCGCTTGAGCCACATCCCCAGCCCCCCACTCTTTTTTTTTTAAAGAGAGAGTGAGAGAGAGGGATAGATAGAGAATTTTTTTTAATATTTATTTTTTAGTTTTCAGCGGACACAACATCTTTGTATGTGGTGCTGAGGATCAAACCCAGGCCACACGCATGCCAGGCGAGCAGGCTACTGCTTGAGCCACATCCCCAGCCCTTGGCCCCACTCTTCCTAGCAGTATAGCCTCTGGTAGTTTTGTTCATTCCTGTCTTGCTTAATTCCTTCAACTTTCTATTATATCTCTGTATAGATATTGATAATTTTTGGTACTGGGGATTGAATCCTGGGCATCTACCACTGAGCCGCATCCCCATCCCTTAAAAAAATATATATATTTCATTTAGAGACAGGGACTTGCTGAGTTGCTTAGGGCCTTGCTAAATTGCTGAGACTGGCTTTGAACTCACAATCTTCCTGCCTTAGCCTCCCGAGATATTGGGATTACAGAGCTATTGGGATTACAGATGTGTGCCACCATGCCCAGCTAAAATGTTTCTTAGGTTTCAAGACTCCATTCAAGGGGGTAATCATGAACTGAAATTTATTTCCATGCATATATGAGTTTGTTGGGAGGATGAACTACTATGTATAACCGTAAAAATTCTGACTTTAAATTTAAAGGTCATTTTACTTCTGAAAAGCCTATTCTGCTTTCTGTTTTCCTCCTAAACCATACTATAAGATCATTTCTTTCAAGATGACTTCCTTACACTTACCCTGTTTCCTCCAGCAACTCCCTGACACCTGACAGGTTTACCTGACTCCCATCATTTTGGGATTACAGATCGTTTACGTTTTATATATAGGAAAAAGGTATTATTTCCTTCAATAGACTGGAAGTTTCCTTAAGGGAAGCTACCCAGTCTACTTTCTGGGTACCACAGATGCTAGGCTTTATACACAAAAATATTTAAGGCTGCTGATTTATTAATATGATGAAAACTTTACTATTCTCATCTATTAGTCTACCAATAAGTTAATCTGTTTCTCTCTAGCCTTCCCCTCTTTAGAACAATATCCAGATGCTAGAATATACAAATGGGTTGGCAATTCAAAGTAAGGAAGTTTAGATTGGAAGCATAAGGTCTTTGCCCTACTTTAATGAGTAAGTTCTTTCACCTTTTCTGTTCATCAGCCCCACCTGAAGTTAATGACTATTGTAGCTCCCTGGAGCCTCCACCCTGCTACTTACTAGCCAAGAAAAGTGGCAAGAAGCTTTACTTGAATTGTTCCCAAAGGAACAGAAAGAACATTCCACAGCTTCCAAAAATATAACTCAGTTTCAAAAGACCTTTCTCCAGCACACCTCATTGGTTTTCATCAGGCCTGTGTCTCTTAGTGTCCTCAAGTAGTTTCCAAAATTCTTCCACATAATGTGAAATGACTCTACTAAAGCAGAAAAAGAAAGCCTTAATCTAGAACATGGTGATACGAGCATGTGGGGCAACATGAACATTACTCAGCAGAGAAGCTGCTTATAAGGAGGGTGTTGCAGGGACTGTAGCATGGCGGGGGAGTGTGTTGGAAAGGTGAGATCATCATTCTATGATATGCAGCTCTGATCATCTCCACAGTAATTTGCAGAGCCATGTATGCAGAAAGAGAGCTCGAAAAAAAAAAAATAGGTTCTAACCCTTAACTAGTTTTGGCTTAGATGTGGAATTAAGATCCAAAGAAGCAAACCTTAGGAGTCAATAGTGTTACTGACTCTTGCCTATTGGGATTATTTACTATACTATCAGGCTTTTCCTTATCTAGCTGGTTTCTTTTATATTCCCTCCTTTGTTATGTTTCCTGCAGAGTAACCTTAGTATAAAGATGAACACATAATAGGTTCTTTAAAAAATAAAATCAACAAGGCACAGTTGTGCATGCCTTTAATCCCAGCAACTCAGGAGGCTGAGGCAGGAGGACTACAAGTTTGAAGCCAGCCTCAGCAACTCAGTAAGGCCCTAAGCAACTTAGTGAGACTCTTGTCTCAAAATAAAAAGGGCTGGGGGGCTAGGGTTCTAGCTCAGTCAGTGGTTGAGCACTTGCCTCGCATGCATGAGGCACTGGGTTCGATCCGCAGCCCCACATAAGATAAGTAAGTGAATAAAGATATTGTGTCCATCTACGACTAAGAAAAATATTTACAAAAGGCGGGGGGGGGGGTTAGGGATGGTAAAGCACCCCTGGGTTCAATCACCAGTACAAAAAAAAAAAAAAATGCCAAGTGTGGTGATACACCTATAATCCCAATGACTCCAGAGGCTAAGGCAGGAGGACTGCAAGTTCAAAGCCAGCTTGAGCAATTTTGCAAGACTATCTCAAATAAAAAGGTCTGTATATAGCTCAGTGGTAGAGCACTCCTGCATTCACCCCCACCCGTACCAAAGTAAATAAGGAAATAATCACAAGGAAAAAAATAAAAATTTAAAATTAAAAATGACATTTTAAAAATTAGTGACTTGTGAAACCTCCCAGTTTATGTAGAACTCAAATCTCATAATAACCACTCTGATCCCTTTTGTGTTATTCATAGATAGTTGCCTACAGTTTTATATAACCCTGTACTCATATTCTCAAAATTTACACAAATTTAGTTCTTGAAGAACAAATTTTCTGTGGGATGGGTACTGATTATTCCTGTGATTCTAATCTGGAATAGTGAAAATGTAAAAGGCAGTAGAGAGTAAGTTAGAATCTGAGAAAAAGGAAAAAGCTCTTTGACAGTCTTCTTTTCTAACAACTATAGTCTATGTAAAAACTGCCCTAACAGTCTCTGAGTGGTTGGTGGTACTATTTTATAATTTAAAAAGCTGAAGGAAACTTTGTGAAATATTAACTCAAAAGACCTAAAATCTTTAGTTATGCCTTTGACCAAAGATATGTCCAGAGAATACTAAATGCATTCCAGAAAGGCAAACATATAAATTTATGTGGAATTAAAATCAAGAACATAAGATTGAAGATTAGCAGAAGATTGAAGCTAAAATGTCAATGTTTACTAATGTAAAGACATTTGTAGTGATATTTAAAAAAAATTATTTATATTTAGTGTTGATAGACCTTTATTTATTTGTATGTGGGGTTGAGAATGAACCCAGTGCCTCACACATGATAGGCAAGTGTGCTAATGCGCAGCCACAGCCTCAGCCCCTGTAGAGATATAATAGAGTACAGATTTAATTACCAAGTCCTTCAGATTTTGTGAAGGATTCCTTTTCAGCTAGCTTCTTTTTTCCTTCCCCAAATGCTCTCCACCCATGTCATATCTATTATTTACTTATTTCAAAAGGTTTGGACACTTATCTGTACCATGATATATGCTCATTAAATGCTTCCCACTATCCTTCATTTTAAATTCTGCAGATAATTAAGGCAAAGGTAATTTTGTAAATATCACTAGTTTGAGATAACATGACTAATAAATGTACAGATTAAAAAGACAGTTTTTCTTAGCCACACAGACACACCCAAATACCCTTTGTCCAGACCCTCTCTAGGCATCCAAGGCCTACTCAACCCAGCCTTGCTGTGTCATGCTGCCACCATGGGAAGCTGGGGAGAGGATGGATGTCGGTGGAGGCGCATGGAAGATCTGTGGCATCTCGTGTGTACCTCACTCTGAGCTTGGCTTTTCTGATTAGCCATGACCTGCCCCCAGTTATTCTACTGAACTGCAAATAAAAATCTGCATCCATCAGTAGCTCCTGTGGATCTGGATTTCAATATGGGATCAGGCTGTTCTCCAGCAGAGAGCTCCACCTTTCCTACCTAAAGCTGTTTCTTAGGAGCAAAGATTTGAGGTGGGGAGGAGAGTTCTGTTAAAAGGTCGGGAATACCCTTAAAAAAAACCCCATATCCCACCCCACAAAGCCCTTTCTGCAGAGACAAGTAGGACACTATAGAATTCAGAAATGGGGGGAGCAGACAGGGTGGTACTAAAGATGCACCAAGTAACCGGTGGGAAAATCGGCTCGAAGAGAAGACAGAAATAATCAGACCGAAGGCATGAAATGCACAGGCTCGTAAGTCACGGGCAATGGAGACTTGAAATGCGGTTAAGTGCTGAGGGACGGTCACACGCGGACTGTTTGGAGGCTCGCCTGGGCACCTGAGGAGTGGGCATCGGTGAGGAGAGCGCGCAGCGGATAACGCCCATTGTTCACTGCGCCCCTTCTCCGAGGGTCCCCACCTCGAGCTCCTCTACCGCAGGAAGCCGCCCTCCCGCCCGGGCTTCCAGGCCGTCTCCCTCGGACGCGCTTACCTGTTACCAGGGAACCACCAGCGCGTTCCAGAGAAGGGCGGCGGGCCTCCGGGTCTGCTGCGGACGGCGCTGGAGCTGCGGCGGTGCGCACGGCTCGGTCCGCTCGCTCCCGCTGGCGCCGCGGGGACGAGCGCGCCCGCCCAGCCTCCCCCGCAACGCAGCGCCCCCTAGGGAGCGCGAGAGGACTCCCCGCCCTCCGCACGGCCCGTGGCGCTCCCACCCCTACTCGCGGACTTTCCGGCCCCTCGGCCGCCTGGCTGCCGAGAATGAGCGGTCTGCCGTTCTCTAGTTCACTGAATAAAGATTCGGGACCGCGGTGCCGTGGAGGAGCCCCGTTCTCAGCCGAAGGACTCCCGTGGTCACCCGCCCCTCCCGCACACTGGGTGAATGAACCTGGCCCGGTTCCCCTCGGGACGGGGCGCAAGGCTGAGGCGCTTCTCGCCTCTCCCCCGCCCGGAACCCTGTCACGTCCGGGCTTTGGGCTGCACTTTGCCACGCAATGCCTGGCGCGTGGAGGCCGCGCGAGATGCCGGGGCCCTGTCTGGGTGCCAGGCCCTCACCCCGGAGCCCCACGCCCCAGTGCACCTGCGGGAGCGGCGGCCCTCGGGGCTGCGAAAGCCCCCTCCCACAGCCCCGCGGAGCCGTGCGCTCGGCCCGGAGCCCGACGGGTGTCGTAATCGCGTCGCGGCCGTTTCCGCCCTCGGCCAGCCCCACCTCTGCCGGCCCGCCCTCGGCTCCCCCACCGCGAGGAGCGAGCCCGGGAAGCCCACAAGGCGGGCACCGGGCGGGAGGCCCCTTCCAGCTCCGGCTGGGCGCCCAGAGGCCCGAGGACAGAAGGTGAGACCGTGGAGCGGGGCTTGGCCGCCAGAGCAGCCTGCCAGGCCGCGGAGACGCACCGGATGCTGGGGAGGGTCGGGGTGCCGCGACGCTGGGCCGGTGGGAACCGTCCCCGTCCACCTGGGTGGGTGCGCAGCCCCGGCGCTGGGCGGTGGGAGGCAGGGGGCCGCTCTGCTGGGGGAGGCGCGAAGGAGGGCGTCTCCGCGTCTCACCGTCTCACCGACCATGGTGGTGGCGGGTCCCAGGCAGAAACGAAGCGGAGCACAGCCGGGAAGGCCTAAATCTGAGAGCGGGGCCGACTCGGAAGAGGGGTCTGAAGACCCCGGGAGCTGCCCATCCTTGCCCGGGGCTGGGAGGCCGAGGGAGAGCGTGCAGAGGTGCGGTCCTTGAGCTCACGCGCTGGGCGAGGGAGGCCGAGGGCCTAGTTCCGCTTCCCGGGAGCCTCCGCAGGACCTTTCCTGGGGAAGGGCAGGGCTGGTGCGAGGGCAGACGCCTGACACGGCCGAAATGTGGGCCCACCCCCTCCCGAGAGCCCCTCAGCAGCCCTGCAGGCTGGGGGGGTCTCCCCACCGACCCGCTGCGTCCTGGGCTCAGAGCCAGAGTTGCCCACTCGGTTCTCAGTTCTTTCTGTTGCTCCAGCTGCTTCTTGTGAAGGCTTGTCATGCCTCGGGTTGGAGGCCGCGGACCGGGAAAACCGGTTTGGGGCAACCACAGGACCAGGGAACTACCTCTGTACATCCTTCCTCCCTGGCACCTTTCTCCCTTCCCTCTTTTGCTTGCCTCTCAACAGCTTTGAGGCTCTTGAGTCGTAGTGTGACCATAATGGCAGTGGTAGTGATTTAGGGGGTGTCTTTACCAGTTCAATATTTCACTCTTTGGACTCTTGTCTTTGGGGCCCCAGTTACCAGTACTACTTGGCTATTGGGATATGGTCTTGTGCTGTGTAATCCTTGATCCTCCCTCTTATTTTCCCAACCCCTTCCCTTTTTCACTGGGGGTTGAAATAGCAGTAGATTCAGGCATCTCTTCTTTCTCAGCATACCAGCTCAAGACCTCATTTTTCCTCAACCCACTATTCTCTGGCTACTTTAAAGAGAGTGACAGCCAATGGCTCTTACTTCCTTTTCTAGCTTTGTTCCCTTCCCCCTAGCCCAAACCACCACCACCACATTCACCCTGTCCTGTCTTCTTCACCCTCTGACACCACCTCCAATTTTCAGAGACCCTAGGGAATGGAATTTTCTGGTCACTTATCATCATTGGTCATTTCATGCCAAGTCCCCCCCACACACACATTTTCCCTCCACCCCAGCTCTAGTCAGATCCCTGAAAAAGAAACAGAAAGGTCCTTGTTCCCTCCACTGCCCCTTTCCCTTTCCCTCCTCCTCCCCCACTCTTCTCTTCCCTCCCAGCACCATCCACCTCTGTCCACTCAGCTTTGAGCTGGGTGGGGAATGTTAAGAGTCCAGTCTTTAAGTCAGAGTGTGTGGTGGTGTTGGGGGTTTCCTCTTATTCTTCATTGTTTTCTCCATTTCCCCCCAACCCTTACCACCTGCCATCATCACCAATGAGATCAGCCCTGTGACTGACTTCTCCACTGACCACTGCTCCCCTCTCAGGACTGCTGTGGTCCCATCCTGATTAACATCCTTTCCAGGGATGGGAAGGGAAGGGAGAGAAAGCCCAGACTCTTGGGTTCTTCCCTCCCCATGGCTTACTTCAGTCTTTGTGTGATGTCATCATAAGGCTGCTAAAAAACAAACTAAATTTTTAGGTCATCTAGGGTGCCAGAGCACCAGGATTCCAGGCCTAGAAAGAAAAACAATTCCTTTTCATATTAATGTTTAATATTCATAAGTTGGACCCTTTGAGGTTTCTGAATTTTAAGACAGGGAAATGCAGTGAGAGGAAACCCAGAAGGGCTCTACCCTGCTGGCAGTAAGGAGGGGAGAAAGTTCTTCCTTGGACACCCTTGCCACTGGAAAATTCCTTGTGTTGAAGCTTGGGGTGGAGGTGGTGAGGGAGAACAGGTCACAGCATGAGGGGAGGTGGGAAGGAAGCCTGGGCCCTATAGAGTGAGGCAGAACAGAGCTGCACGACAGGACTTGTGAGGAGGGTGGGGAGGCTGGAAAAAAATTCCTCATGGGATAGAAGTACTCAGCACATGTGCAGAGATGATCTGTACAAGATGTGTTTGGAGATAGGGCCAGATTGTGAGTGTGCAAACAGGTGTACACATAGGAGTATGGCAGCACCAGACAGATATAACAGTGTACACAGCCTTCAGAAAGGTTCTCAAGGTCAGGTAATAAAGGAACTGCTAAGTGGTTTCTGGGAGGGGTTGGATCTCAGTTGAGAGAAATGAGAAGGAACAAGGGCAATGAACTGAGAGAGGTAAGAAATTCTTCACAGAAGAGTCTTACTGTTTCCTAAGACCTAGGTGGTTAGTCCTCTCTTGTTCTTAAAGAAAATCTAGGTGTTCAGGGCAAGGTAAGGAAATAGGAAGGGACAAAGGGTGGAGGCCTTGTTTATGAGAACAAAAAACCGCGATTTCCTCTTCAGAGTCACTTAAGTGCTCCTCCCCTTCTGCCCTAAATCCAGGGTGAAAGGAGCTAAACCATTGAGCACCCTCAAATTTTGCTCATTTCTGTCACTATTCTTTGGTCCTCTCGTATCTTTTCACTCTAAGTCCCTTTAGCCCTCTTTTTCTCCCTTGATGCAGACAACCATTGCTCCTTAACCCCTTGGTATTCTTTTGTTTTTGTTCCATTTTCTGAGAGTCAAATGATGTTTTTGCAAAACATTAGTCTTGAATACAGAATTAGGGGGCTGGGGATATAGCTCAGTTGGTAGAGTGCTTGCCTTACATGCACAAGGCCCTGAATTCAATCCCTAGCACCAAACAAACAAAAAACAGAATTAGGGCCTATAAGGGAGAACTGAGAAGATTGGGACTTATCTGAAGTTTTCTCGAGCATCTGTGAAGGGGATTTCTTGTTAACTTTTCTTTTTGCTTTTTGCTTATCTAGAGTTCCAGATTTCAGGAAGACCTAACCTTGTACCTGCATGCCTACCCCCCTTCTCTCTGGCCCTGTTAGACTCTCCAGCTTTGGAACACTGACCCTCACTGCTCAACCAAGGATCCTGGGGATTCTACCTTCTCTAAACACATCCAGCTGAGTAAACCCAGGGTGTTATTATACCTGGGGAGAGTAAGAAGTGGGGGGTCAAGGCACCAGAGCAAGAGCCCTCTGGGGCCTCAAGAAGAGGAGTGAAGCTGGAATCATCAGGGAATATGAGTGAATTTTGGCACAAACTGGGCTGCTGCGTGGTAGAGAAACCCCAGCCGGTGAGTTTCCCAACACCCCCACCCCAAAAAACTTAAGTTACCTTATGCTGTGAAGTGGACATACCATCTAGGATCTACCTTCTAAAAAGCACACTTCTTGCCTCTCAGGAAAGTTTCTAGGCCAGGCAGATGTATACACACAATAAAAGGGACCACGTGATGGTAGAAATGAATGTCCTAGCTATCACTTCCTGTTCCTGTCCATTCTCAGTTGGGCAGGGGTTGTAGGTTGAGCTGAATACCTGTCAGCTTTTCCCCATTGTTTCCTCATCAGCCAGGATATGACTTTGACATATCCTTTTTTTTGAACATTCACTCTGCAGGCCACTGCCCTCCCCGCTTTGGTCTGTGTGGTCTCTTGTTATTTCACCTTTGTCTTTCATTCCCTAGTGATTTCCCTGTCATAATGCTACTTCTGGTCATTGGCTCCTCCCTTAGTCGTTTTCAAGACTCTTTCCCCTTCCTCACTGACTTAACACGTGACTCCTTATCATCTCTAAGCAGAAAAAGAAAAGACGACGAATCGACCGGACCATGATTGGGGAACCAATGAATTTTGTTCACCTGACTCACATTGGCTCTGGGGAGATGGGGGCTGGAGATGGACTTGCCATGGTAATGAGGGAATGATAAATGCCTGTGGACTGTAATTTTAATTGTTTTTGAAAGTTTAATTGAGGAACAATATACTCAATGGGGAAGCAAGAATCTGGGATTCTAGTCCTGGTCACCAGCTGTGGAAATCTAAGATCTGGCATTTCAGATCTCTTGGCCTAGGTGACCTCATCTTTATAATTAGCATGTTCTTCATTGGGGTGGGGGATATATGACTTAATAATTAGAGGACTTCTTCAAAAAATATAACCCTGGCCTGGGGTTATATAGCTCAGTGGCAGAGTGCCTTCCTAGCATGTGTGAGGCACTGGGTTCAATTCTTAGCACTGCATATAAATAAATTAAAAAAAAAAAAATCCATTGTCAACTAAAAAAATATTTAAAAAAATAAAACAGCTCTCCCTTCTCCTGATTAAGAACTGCTGAATCAGTGCCACAGAAAGTTATATTGTGGCTGGGAGTGTTGGGGCATGGAAACGGTCCAGCATCTCTATCCTAAATGATGTCTGTAATAGATTTCTGCTCTCATAAAAAGAAAAATTGGTCTACAGATAGTGATGAAGTCTTTTTACTGATTAGTTGAACCTCATGGGAGAATTTTTTTGTCAGAACTTATTAGTAAGAGAGCCATTTTACTTCATCTTCATGAAGGCCAATATGAAGGGAGGGCATTGAGACTTCCTTTCTCGGAATGGTAGTTAATTTTCACCTTTTCAGATTGATGTTGTCAAGGAGATAACAGCACTGGATAGACCTCTTACTGTCGGGTATGAACACTTAGAAAGGTGTCTCACTCGCACCTTCTTTTGTTTTTTTGGCCATGCCGGGGATCAAATCCAGGGTTGCTCTACCACTGAGCTGTGTCCCCAGCTCTTTTATTTTGAGACAGGGTCTCCCTAAGTTGCTTAGGGCCTTGCTAAGTTGCCCGGGCTGGCCTCAAACTTGGCCATCACCGTGCCTCAGCCTCCAGAATAGCTGGGATTACAGGTGTGTTCCACTGCACCCAGTTCACATGTGTTTTTAACAGACAGGTGCAGTTCAGGAGCAGATGAGATCCAAGGGAAACCGAGACAGGCCGTGGAGCAATTCTAGGGGCTTATAGCCCCATAGGAATGGTGAGTGATTAGAGAAATGCAACACCTCAGGCACATGCCTGCACATCCTGATACCCTGCTTCAGAACCTGATCCTGATACAAGAATGGGAACTGGGGGGAAGAGGGAGGAAGAATTAGAATGGAAGATTCAAGAATAGAGGATCATTCCAGAAAGGCAGAAAGGGGGTTGTGTAGACAGAAATAGAGGAAAGAGCCCCTCTATCCTAAATAATGTCTATAATGCATTTCTGCTCTCATGATAAGGGAAATTGGTCTAGGGATGATGGAATATTTTTACCAGTTATTTGAACCTCACATGTATATGGGCAAGTTTTCTGTGAGGGGATCTTATTAGTAAGAGAGCCGTTGTATGTCATCTTCATTGAAAGCCAACATGAAGGGAGGCAGTTCGTAGACCACACTATGTGATGCCTTCTCCCTAAGGACTTGGTTGAGGCAAACCTTCTTTTAAAACACTTTTTGTTTGTTTTTAAATTTAGGTTCTGCCGTCTTGAAGCCCCTGCTTTGTGTCCAGCCCAGAAGAAATGCTGTCCCCACCAGATCCTTCCTAGAACACAAGGGCCCTCTTTTGCCTATCTGCCTAATAGTGCCTCAAAAGGCATGGGGGCTGGACTCCCTCTACTCCCTCTGGCCATAGCCCCTCCTGGAGATGGGGTCAAGGCAGCAGGACTGACCACATGACTACTGTTTGGCCAGAGGAGCTCAGCTGAAGCCCTGGTACTCTAGATCTGAGCTAGGAGTTCTCTGGGAATCTGGAATGAGTTCCTTTCTCCTGAATGACGTTCTAGGTGCCACTTGTTTTTAAACTCCTGACCCGGAACTCCTTAGATGGGGTAGGTAGGTGGGATTATGCAAGCTGAAGCTGGCTTTGCTGAGAAGCTCCCTACCTTCATGCCCCTCTGTTTCCTCCTGGACTTAACTAAAGTAGATTTCAAGCGGGGGCTGGGTGGTCACCACTGCCTGATCAAGTCCATTCTTTCTCTTCAGATTTTAGACCTTAAGCTATAGTCCCTCAATCTCTGCCAATACCAAGGTATTTCCCTAGTTAGGGCTCTAAATCCTATGTTTCTGTAGCATTACTAGCTTCCCAGCACCATTCCCCTCCCTTTTTTATTATTAAAAATTTAATTTAAGACGAGTTATTTTAATTATCCCCATCTTGCTACTCCTACCTCTGCTCTTAACTTCATCCCTGTTAGGAACCTTATTGTTTCCTATTGAACAAGGGTTAGGAGGTAGATGTTGACAGCATTCCATTTAAGTCTTGGGGCATCTGGCCTGCCTTCTGCCAGCCTCCCTGCTAGCCCAGGTAAGAGGAGGAAGAGAGGGGCTGGAGAGAAGGCCATAATGCAGCAAAACTAGGAGTTATATCTCAAGGTGGACTTCCTGTCCATTAAGGATAGGAGAATGCTGAGAGCAGTTGTCTGTGTGCAGGGTCTTTCCTCAGCATGGGAGCAGGAGAGGCTCTAGAATAAGGTTCAACCAAGACACAGTTGACATTTGGAACTAGGTAATTTATTTGGAGAGCTGTTCTGTGCATTATATTTAGCAGCATTCCTGGCCTACCCTAGTTATGACAACCCCAAAATTTTATTGTCTCCAGAAATTACCAGATGTCTACTAGTGGCAAAATTACCTACAGCTGAGAATCAGTTCTGGAGTCAGGATGGTTTTCCATCTTCCACCCTTCCCTAATCTGGTTGTTTATCTTAAGTCTGAGCCTTGAATGAACTACAACCCCTTATAAAGTAGGCTCAGTAGAGCTGCACATAATTTTTTTTCACTCGGTGTATTGATTGTGCTTGCATAGGATTATGTCTGTGATGGACATGTATCATGCTTCTCCATTCTTGTTCTGTGGAAGAGGGGTTCCTGCAGTATGGAAACAGGAACAGGGTATGTTGGGATTGGAGAGGGAGGAGATAAAAGCAGCAGATATACCCTAGTTATCGTTCCCAAGTTCTAAGCTTTATTTCTGTGCCCTAGTCCTAAAACCAGACACAAGACTCAGGAAGTTTTGTCTGAAGACCAGGTCCCATTCCCCACCTGCTCAAGGTGGCTTTAGATGGGAAAGCAATATAGGAGCAGGGTCTTTAGGCACTTTGTTTTCTCAGGTGTTTTTTTGTTCTGACCCTTTCCTTGAAGGGTAATTAGGAAGGCCAAACAAGACTATTGAGCTCCTGCCTGCTCTAAGACAAGAAGGCTGGAGTCTCGTATTACCTCTGTAATAGGAAGCTTATTTTATGGTAGAGGGGTCAGCACTCATGGATACTCAGTGGATTGTGCTTGCATAGGATCATTTCTGTGATCCTGTAAAAACTGGTATCTACTCTGCTGATTTCACCATCCATACAGTTTGCCCCACCTACAGTGATTGATGTTTTAATTTTTTCAAATTTCATTGTACTTCCTACAGTTTTTCAGGGTCTAAGATTGGTCATAGAGATACATTCCCAGTTTACTCTGTTCTAGGCAAGTTAGTTGTTCTGAAAATAGCCCACCTTTTTGCCCCAAAGTCAGTGGCCTGAGGGTGAAGTCTAGAGATCTAAAGGGTTAACAGGATAGAGTAGGAAGGGGACTGGCAGACTCCAGACCTCTAGACACATCCTAATATATTCTTTGGACACATCTTCTCTTTGGTGCTCTCTTGCCTTGAGCTGCCTTCCTTCTCTAAATGTATGCTACCATCACTTTAATAATAAAGTGACAGGAATGGGTTGGAGAGTCATAATTTATATTAAAAAATTGTTAGACTTTTAAAATACATTTTTCAAATAAAAAATGTAAGCAAAATAGTTGCAGAGTAATCACTACAGGTGTGTCTTGGATTAAATGATAGATGTGGCAGATGTAGACAACTCCCCTAGAGTGGCTAAGATGGGATTTTGTACCAACATTGCCTTTCTGAAGAGAGGGCCAAGTATTGAGAAGTCAAAGAGAAACCACCATCATCTTTCAAGGGCTGGACTCCTTGTTCTACCTATTTCTTTCCTTGGCACTTGAGTTTTTTATTCCAAAGTACTTATTTAAAAACAATATTGGAGATAAGGTATCAACATTTTATCCTGGGGGACATGTGTAGAGGAAGAACAAGCCAGAGGCAATGAAGTTCAGTTTTAGGATTGAAGAGATTTATGGTCTCTTCCCTCAAGTACTTCTGTAAAAAGACACAAGACCAAACAATTTTTTTTTTTTTCAGTTTTGTTTTTCTGTACTAAAAATATCTAGTGGGTGCTGGGGATTGAAAGGGGAGAGGTTGAGATGCTGAAACCTCCTCTTGTGGATGAAGTGGCCATTACCTCCGGTTTCTGTGTGTCTGAGTAAGGAAAAAAAAAATAGAGAAAAGGGGAAATTACAACCACATCTACATTCTTTCTTTATTATTTATTATTTTTTTTGTGTGTGTTGCCCAGGCTGGCCTTACACTAGTGATCCTCCTGCCTCAGCCTCCATAGTAACTGGGATCACAGGGGTTCACCATGGTGACACATATCTTTTTTTTTTTTTTTTTGCAATGCTGGAGATTGAATCCAGAGCCACACACATGCCAAGCAAATGCTCATATCACTGAGCAGCACCCCAGCCCTCACATCTCTTTATCCTTTAGTTGCTTTCCTCCTTCCACAAAACCTCATTACCGCTGTCCCTTTTGATGCTTCTTTTTGTATTCTCAAAATAGTATTGAACAACTGGGCACGGTGGTGCATGCCTGTAATCCCAGCAACTCAGGAGACTAAAACAGGAGGGTCACAAGTTCAAGGTCAGCCTCAGCAACTTAGGCCCTAAGCATTTTAGCAAGGCCCTGTCTCATGAGATGTGGCTCAATGGTTAAGTGCCCCTGGCTTCAATCTCTAGGACATATATAGAAAGACAACAGAAACCAGAAAAATTACCAAGGATACCCTTTGTTTATTGCCTTTTTTACTTCCCTGTCATCAGTAGCAACTTTGACTACTTTATCAGGTCAATCAGAACCTTTGGTAACTCTTAGAAAAGGAGGGCTGTCTTTCCTTGAGAATTCTTAAATTGCTTAAAAGAATCCAAGAAGGACAGTTCTTTGGGATGACAGTAGTTAAGAATATGGGCACTGGTGTCAAATCTGGTTTCAGTATGGTGGCTCTGCCACATACTAGTAGTAAATTTGTTTCTTTGTAAAGTGGAGACAATAGCTCAAGTTTGTGAAGACTCGGGTCAAATGCACATAGTGAGACCTCACATTTTAGCTGTTGTTACTGTTCAACTGCATTAATTAGGTAAAAACAAATTCCTCCATGTCTGTTAACTGTGCATTAAGAAATCTTTACCTAGGTTGGTCAATAATCATCTTATGGCCAATAAGACATCTTGCCAACAACCAATCAGCAGTTGTACAAGAAAAAAAAAAAAAAGCCAGGCACAGTGGTGATGTACACCTGTAGTCCCAGCTACTAAGGAGGCTAAGGTGGGAGGATCACTTGAGCCCAGGAGTTTGAGACCAGCCTAGGCAACATACAGAGATCCTGCCTCAAAAACAAAAGAAATAACATGTAGAATCAAGGGTCAACAATAATATGAATAACAAGTGCATGCTACGAATCAATAACTAAACAGGTCTAAGTAACAGTTCTTACAAGCACACTGGCTGGTTTAGCAACAGGATTGGGGATATCAGGACTTTTCAGAACCACCAACAAAGATTCTGACTTATCAACAAAACACTTACTGGTTGCATCTCTGTGAACACTGAAGAGAGGCTATTCCAAATATCCTCCAAGCCCATTCTGACTTTTTTCCAAAAAACGAGACCTGGGCTAGGTGGGGGAGGTGGAAGGGTTAGACGTCTGGTTTGGATGGGGGCCATGGTGGTGGTGGTGGTGGTGGTGGTCTGAGTGGTGCAGCTGTTGTCAGAACAAAGATCTGAGTCCAGGGGGCACTCTTCCCGAAGCCGATTGCAGGGACATTTCTGGTAGGTGCAAGGCCGATGTTCTGTACGGATTTGTCTCAGTGCTCCAACTCGAAGTCGCCCAGAAATGCCCTGCAGCTTCCCGGACCGGGTCCGGCTCATGGTGCCTGACTTGCAGTGGCAGTGCCAAGGGCCCCAGGGCATCAGCACTAGTCTTAGATCCTCAGGAGGTGGCATAGCTGTGCGCGAGGTTGACGGCCACCCGCTGGGGGTAGACCCAGCTGTTGACCACCGGCTCACGGCCTCGGTGCTCAGTTCCCCAGTAGAACGCAAACCGGCGGTGGGTGGCAGGCTTGTGGTCATCCTGATTTCCTTCTCTTGTTTGTTGGCTGTTACCCTCCCAGTGCTGGTACCTATTGACAAAGGATCTATAGTGCGAGCCTCCATGCTGGTGTTATTCTTTCTGGCATCAATCACAACCCCCTCTTCCAAAGACCCATCATCATCGTCACCAAAGCCGGTTTCAGATGACCTGCTCATGCCTGTCACCGTGGCCAGGAGCTCGGCTGCTGCCGGGCCTGCTAGACGATCTGCGGTGGCCACTGCGTCATTCTCATCCTCCAGAACTATTTTCGTCCTATGGGCAACACTGGACTGGGAGATGCCGCCAGTGTTTCGGCTGCGGGCTGGGCTCCCGAAGCTTAAGGTGACCCCCTTCGTCCCTGTCCCTGTCGGGGTAGTGGTCGGGGTCTGGTCCTGGGCCCCCGCCGCCTGGAGCCCCAGACTCAGCAGTAGGGCCCAGAACAGCACGCAGGCGGCGGGGACCATGGGGCTGGGTGGCTTGGAACTGGGAGGGAGGCAGGATGCTACCTTCTCTCCCTCTTCCTCTCTCCACCAACCCGCTGGGTCGGGTCGTTTGAACCAAGGCGGGGCGCTCAGAGGTAGAGGCGCGCGCCACACCCCTCCCCCTTAGTCCGCTCCCACAGGGGCTCCCCTCCTGCAGCCCCAGGGCAGGGGCTGAGCTAAAAATCCTAGGGAACCTCTGCAGCAAGAACTCTGTGCCAGAACCAAAAGGGGGATTGTGATGTAAGGGGCTGGGAAAACAGTCGTTCACTTTCTCGGCGCAGACTTAAATCTTGCACGGCAGTTTATTAACCGCTACAGGTATGAATTCACTAAGGAGGGCGAAAATACAGGTTTTGAAAGTACTGCTTCCCAACTCACTATCAGCAGACACGACTTAGAGGGAAAGAAGAGCATAGAGGCGTTCCTAAAGATTTTGTGAGCTGCACCCTGGCTCCTAGCAGGCAGGCTGGCTGTGGTCAGTTAAGCCCTTCTGGTCCATCCAACTCCTCTCCAAGACTCTAGAATACCCAAGGTGAAATGGAGGGAGTCCTTCACTTATAGAAGAGGAAAATGAGACCCAAAGAGATGATATTTGTCCAGTATTCTACAGCTAAAGATTAAAAACAAGAGCTCTTCACTTCCAATGCACTAGTGACTCAGCCTTCCAAACCACAGATGAATTGAAAGCCACCCAACAGATCAGGTTCCCAACTTCAAAGTCCACCGAAACCAGGGTCATGTTCAGGATGGCATCCCAGTGAAGATCCAGTGGTATTGGAGTTGAAGATGAGATGATTTACAAGACAGATGTTTCCAGGGTTGGGATGCAGGCAGATCACTATCTTTGTTTGGTTCTAAGGCCCTTTATCCAGTACTGAGCCATGGAGATCCTGGTCCAGCCTACAGGAGACGGGCAGAGAAGCAGTCAAGGAGCAAGAGGTTGATTTAGAAAAAGGAGTCAAGTGACCTGGAAGAGCTAGAAGACTGGATGTTTAATCAAATATTAGCATCTTTTGCTCCCTAACATCCTCTTTTCCACTTGATATACTTACTGTAGACATTCCTTCCTTATTCCTAGGGCTGCTCTGAGTCTCCTCTAACCTCTATGCTGTAATTATTTCTTGATGCTTCTGCATTTTTTATGTATAATTTTTTTCCTTTTTTCTTGCTGAATGCAGTAGTGTCCTTAATTTCTCTGTGTGTGTGCAGTTTGCTCAGATACATCGAAACACCCGAAAGCAGGGTGTTTTAGTTCCTTTATATCTCCCACAAGGTGTTAAGAAAATGGGATTGGCTTTACACATCCCACCCAAACCTTCATCTTTAAGTGCAGGACTCACTGTCTGACAGCTTCAGGGATGTGGACTTGATCCAGGGAGATGAGTTGGGCCAGCTCCCCCAGGCTGTCCAAAAAGCGTATCTTTCGTGTGAACTTGGAACTGAAAAGAGAGAATATATCAAATATGTTTTGTACTGGGAGGATGGTTCTTAGAGACCCTTACAAATGGAAATGTGGTAAGTAGAGTGGTTAAGGCAAGAAAGGGCAAGATCTTAATTTTTATTTTGAAAATGGAGAGTAGGAGAATCCTTGTCCCAGACCTAGTACCTGATGAAGGGCCGAAGCAGTGCCAGAAATGCTTTCACATACCATGTGGCATGGACAACCACAAGGGCTCTCAGGTTTTTCCGAAGCCTGAAGAAGAATAAAATATCATCCCATTTCTTCTAGTTCCACCTTCAAACCTGAAGATCAGGTGGAGCTATCTTCTGTAGTGCAACCATCTTCTATAATGCAACCTTCTTGGCTAATTTCTAATATTCTCTGGTGATTGGGTATAATCCTTATTCCTTTGGCTGCAATCTCAGCTCCATCCATTGTATTCAACCCTCCAGCTCCTCATTTTTAGGAAACTCTCCTTTCAGAATCTCTCAGCCTGGTCTTCTCTACCCATTTTTCTCCTGCCCATACTCTCACATAAGTTCCTCCTGCAAACTTCTCTATCCCACCCTGACCAAGCTTATTTTAAAAATTCCAAATGGAAGACCAGTAAGGAGGAAAAGAAGAAAAGGAGCAAAAAGAAAGAGAAAAATAAGCAAAGGGAAGATGGTGAAAACTAAGGAGAAAAAAAGAACATCAGGAGGAAAAGAAACATACAAGTTAGGGATGAAGGAAGAGAAGAAAATAGACATGTGGAAAATGAAGTAAACGGGAGAAAGGGAAGAGCACCTTCTGTGTGCAATATGCCAGATTGATTTACCTGATATTCACAAAGGCCAAGTGGCAAAGGTATTATCATTGCCATTTTACAGAGAAGGAAACTGAAATGCTAAAGGCTTGTTCAAAATTATATAGCTAGTAAATGGTTAAAGGTGAGACTTGAAATGGTTTCCTAATTCCAAAAGAGAGCAAACAGAAGACAGGAGATGCATGGGAAGGGGTGTAGAGGGACAAAGAAAAGATGAAGGGACTAGATAGAAGAAAGAATGGAAAGATGGAAAAAAAAAAAAAAAAGAAGAGGGAAAGTTATAGCCTTCTCTCTCATCCTAAGGACTCACCGCCTGTCCAGGGTACGGTAACACTGGCGTATCCAGCTCAGAGGTGGAACTTGGGCCCTGCTTGTGCCTCCACTCAAGTGAACAAGCAGATAATTTTCAGCTACCAGCAGCTCCAGAGTTCCCACCATATACCTGAGGAGACAGTATTGTAAGGAAGGTATGTGCTGGGTGTTTCAGAGAGTAAGAACATTAATTAGTATCGAGTCTTCAATCAGCTACTGATCTTAGATGTGGCTCTTTTACTTTTCCCTTCATAATGTCCTCCCTGTACCCCCTCTCAGGCTTTCCACCTTACCTAAACAAATGTTCCATGACATAATTGTAGTTGGGGATGCTGCTTTGGGGTAGATAACAGGAAGCAAAGAGGATGACAGCATTGAGGCCATCACCATGGTAACCTGGAAATGATTAGGGAAAATTCAGGCCACAGATATGTACTGAGAGACAGTACCTCTTTTATATGGAGGGACACTGAGGGTCTCTGGGAGTTATAGGAAAGATGCTGAGACCAACAGCTAAGTCTGCAGCTTAGGTATTTCAAGAAGCTATAGTTTTATCCCTCTACTTCCTCTAGCCATTACCTCCATGAGATAGGACTTTCTTATAGGGCTCAATGATAGTCATGTCCACTCGTCGCTCCCACTGTCCTGTTCGGAACACCCTCCAGCGATGACCATCTTCTCCAGCCACATCCCACATGCAACCCTGGCCCAGTCTTTCTGCTGCTTCACTGGCCCCCAGACTCTCTGCCCGGGGCAGCTCATCTAAAACAGAGGAGTAAGGAAGGGTCAATGTGGTGAATCTCCCCTCTTCAGTAACTTGTAACTTCCCTAGATCCGTAGAATTTACTTCTCCAAACCTCTCATTCCTCAATTTTTTCCCTCTCCTTTCAGAATCCCTCAGCCTGGTCTTGACTCTTAACTCTTTAGCCCCTGTATGTAGTTAACCCAAGTCCTTCCTGGTGTCTTTTTCATTATCCGCACCTATTCACTAGAGATGGCCTTGGGGTGAACTTGCACTATGGCAGGTCTGTGGCTCTTACTAGTATCAGGTTTGTATACCCCTCCCATATTCTCTTTCTTCCCTACCTTCCCCAGAACTGGGATTGAACCCAGGGGTACTCTACTATTAATACCATTAAGTCATATCTGTGCCCCCCCACCCTTTTTTTAGGTACTGGGGATTGAACCCAGGGACACTTAACCACTGAGCCACATTCCCAGCCCTATTTTTGTATTTTATTTAGAGACAGGGTCTCACTGAATTGCTTAGCACCTTGCAGTTGTTGAGGCTAGCCTTGAACTTGCAATCCTACTGCCTCAGCCTCCCAAGATCCCCGGCCCTCACTAAATTGTGGACACTGGCATCAAATTGTTACCTTCCTGCCTTAGTCACCACCATATTCTCTATTTTTTTACATGCTTCTTTCTAGGTGAGCTCATCTATTTCCATGTCTTCAGTTACCATCAGCAAGATTATGACTCTCAAATTTGCCTCTTTAATGCCAACTTCCCTCCTAACTTCTGATCCATATCCCTGAATGCCTAGAGTAGACATCTCCCTTTTGTGTTTCCCTATTATTAACAAGTCAGATTCAAAACACAACTCAAAATTATTCTTTTTCTTTTTCCCATATTTCCTGGGGTTTTTTGTTGTTGTTTTTTTTTGGGGGGGGCAGTACCAGGGACTGAACGCCAAGCACTTAACCACTAAGCCACATCCCCAGCCCTTTTTTGTTTCTTTATTTTAAGATAGGGTCTCACTAAGTTGCTTAGGGCCTAAGTTGCTGAGGCTGGCTTTAAACATGTGATCCTCCTGCCTCAACCTCCCAAGTCACTGGGATTACAGGCATGTGCCACTGCGACTGGCCCCATTCCTGTGTTCAGGAATGATTCCATCTATCTAGTTGCCTGAGGAAGAAAATTGAATGTCATCTGAGATTCTTTCTTATCTATCATCTCTCAAACCAACTGGACCCCACTTCCTCTTCTATCCACTTCCATAATTTTCTTTTCTTTGGTACCAGGGATTGAACTCAGGGGCAATCAATTACTGAGCCACATTTCCAGCCCTATTTTGTATTTTATTTAGAGACAAGGTCTCACTGAGTTGCTTAGTGCCTTGTCATTGCTGAGGCTGGCTTTGAACTCACATTTCTCCTGCCTCAGCCTCCTAAGCCAGTGGGATAACAGGCGAGGGCCACTGTGCCCAGTCATAATTTTCTTCTGTCATCTTTTTTTTTTTTTTTGGTACAGGAGGTTGAATTCAGGGTTGCTTAACCATTAAGTCACAATTTCAGCTATTTTTATTTTTTATTTTGAGACAGATTCTTTCTAACTTGCTTAGGGCCTTGCTAAGTTGCCGGCTTTGAACATGTGATTCTCCTGCTTCAGCCTCCCCAAGCTTCTTTGATTATAGGCCTGGGCCACTAGGCTTCTCGCCTGGTCTTGGTACTATCCTCCTACCTGCTTTCCCTGTGTTTACTTCATTTTCCTCAATCCACCCTCTAAACTACTGTTAGAGAAATCTTTCTTTTCTCTCTACTTTTTAATTCAAATTATAACTTACTACAGGGTATCCTTCTCTTGGGACTCTTCCCCTTTTGGGAACTGTGTTTTCTTTCTATTACTCTAATAAATCCTGTTACTTTGCTCTCAAAAAATAAAAAATTATAGTGTACCACATCCATCATCTGGTATGATCTTTCCATGGCAATGAAAGAGCCGTCTCAGTGCCTAGCATGTGTGAAGCACTGGGTTCAATCTTCAGCACCACATTTAAAAAAAAAGAACACACTAAATAAAATAAAGCATGCTGTCCATCAGCAACAAAAAAGAAGTGTCTAGTCTAAAAAAAAAAAATATTTGCAATGGTATTGCAGGTGTAGATAGATAGTATAGCACTTACATAGCATACATGAGACCCTGATTTCCCCAGCACCACAAAAAACAAAGAAAAAAAAACCCTGCATAATATTTAGCATTCCATTGTATGGATGGAACACAATTGAATTTATACTGTACTGAGGGATTTTTAGTTTGTTTCCAGTCTTTAAAGTATCATTAAAGCCAGGTAGGGTAAAACATTCCTGTAATCCCAGCTACTGGGGAGCCTGACGCGGGAGAATGACAAGGCCAACCTTGACAACTTAGTGAGACTCTGTCTCAAAATAAAAAGGTCTGGGACTTTAGCTCAGTGGTTGAGTGCCTCTGAGTTCAATCCTCAGTACCAAAAGTCATTAAATTTGACTATAATTAAAACCTTTCAATGCTCCACATTGTCTATAATATAAAATCTAAACTCCTTAACATGGAAACAAGGACATGTATGATTGGGCCTTTACCTGCCTTACCCAGCACTATCTTTGGGTATACATTTTTGTTTCACCTTAGAGCCTTTCATCTGTAAACAGTCATGCTTCATACTTTGAATTCCATAACTTGCCATGCAATTGATTGAGCTGTTACTTCCACTTTGAATGCCCTTTCTCCAAATACCTGATAAATATCAACTTCAGTTTATTATTATTATTATTATTATTATTATTATTAGTTGTAGATGGAGAGCATGCCTTTATTTCATTAGTTTATTTTTATGTAATGCTGAGGATCGAACCCAGTGCACACACATGCTAGGTAAGCACTCTGCCACTGAGCTACAGCCCCAGTCCCAGTTTCAGCTCTTAACCTCAAGCTTAGAATCAACTCCTCCATGAAGTCTTTTCTAAACATCTTTAAGGCAGATGTACTTCTTTTTCTGTACTGTATGCTGTGCAAATGTAGATCATATTTTTGGTACTGGGGATTGAACTCAGGGGCAATTAACCACTGAGCCATATCCCCAGCCCTTTTTATATTTTATTTAGAGTCAGGGACTCACTGAGTTGCTTAAGGCCTCACTAATTTGCTGAGGCTTCTTTGAACTCATGATCCTTTGCCTTAGCCTCCCAAGCTGCTGGGATTACAGTGTACCACTGCGCCTGGCCAGATCATAACCTTTAACTGTAATCTAGAACCCCATTCCTAGCTCAATGGTAGCATATAACAGGCACTCAATAGAACCACCTCTCTCCTCTACTCTTGACTATTTCACATCAAATCTACAAACTCTACCTTTCCCATCTGAAGAAATCAATTTTGCTACCTTTCCTTTTATCTAACATCAGTCCCATTAAATCCATCCTGAGTTTCTACTCCTCCTCCCTCCCCGGTTCTGGGGATTGAACCCAAGGGCCCTCTATCGCTGATCAACAGCCCCAGTCCTTTTTATTTTGAAACAGGGCCTTGCTAAATTGTTGAGGCTGGCCTCAAACTTGCTATCCTCCTGCCTCGTCTCCTGAATCACTGCAATTACAGGTGTGCACCACAGTACCCATGTGCTACTTCTTCCTTCTTCCTTTTTCTTCTTCCCTTCATCCTCTTTATTTATTTATTTAAATTTTATTTACTCTGGGCTAGAAGAGTAAAAGCAGGCAGAGAGCGAGGCTAAAAGCTTCGACCCACATATCAATTTATCAGCTCTCTCTCCCCACCATGATTTATTATCTGTGTTCCTTTTTCCCACCTCTTTCCTTCAAGTCCTTTCTTTTTTTTTAAGGTTCACTAGCCACATTAAAATTGCGTGCAATAGGTCTGGGGCTGTAGCTCAGTGGTAGAGTGCTTGCTTTGCAGGTATGAGGCACTGGGTTTATCCTCAGCACTAGATAAAAATAAATTTTTAAAAAATAAAGTTATCTTGTCCATCTACAACTTAAAATATATATATATATATATATATAATGGCCAGGGGCTGGGGCTGCAGCTCAGTGGCAGAGTTCTTGCCAGCACGTGTTAGGCACTGGGTTCAATCCTCAGCACCACATAAAAATAAAAAAAGATACTGTGTGTTATCAACAACTTAAAAAAATATTTAAAAAAAAATTTGTTTCCCACCTTCCCATTCAAATTCATGTCCACTGTCCAGCTGCTCTGAGTCTGAAGGTGTCTCTAATTCATCTACTTCCAGGTCTGAACTGCCATCAGAAGAGGAAGATGCAGAGGAGGTGGGAGAAGCTCCATTATCTCCAGGCCCCGCAGTAAGATTCAGCTGCAACTCTGGGGCAGAAAGTCGTTTCCGCATGAGGCGCTGGCCACACAGGGCTAAAGTATTGGGGGTACCTGGTTTTGGAGGAGAAAACAAACAAAAACAACAACAACAAACAAACAAACAAACAAAAAACAGAGAAAGGAATGAGTGGAGGAATGCTGTTGGTGGCTGGAGTTCCTTATGTACGAGTGGTGATACGGGGTGAGTACTAAAGAAGGAAGCGACCCAGGGGACATTTTGGGAAGGGGAATGAAACTATGAAGGGATAGTGGTAGCACATACCATCACTGAACTAAAGTAAAAAACTTGACGCCTGTTTTCTACATCAACTACCTGGCTGTGAGTCTCTTTGAGGGTCCTCAGGATCTTCAGAAGGGCCAGTCTCCTCAGGAAGCAATCTAGAAGGGAGAGTAAAAGCGGACAGAGAGCAAGGCTAAAAGCATGGAGCCACATGTCATCAGCTCTCTTTAATCAGCTATGTTCCTTTTTCCCACCTCTTTCCTTCGAGTCTAATTCTTCCTCCCTGCCCTCCATTTGTGACCACCTTTCCTTTCACCCAGCCTTCCTCCCACTTCCTCACCTAGGGAATTCTTCATCTTGCCATTCTTCCTTCAGTTCCAATTCCTCGAGTCGCAGGGCGACTGCTTGTTCTGTTGCTTCTGCGTCTTCCCTAACCCTAAGATGGTCCCCAGAAGAAAAGATTATCATGAAGAAACCTGGAGAGTGTCTTAAGGGAGCTGGATATACAATGGAATGGAAAAACAGTTTCTGAGATAGAGGGTAGACCTTAAAAGAACTCAGTTCTTTCTGGATAAGGTGGCACACACCTATAATCCCAGCAATTCAGGAGGCTGAGGCAGGAAGATCACAAGTTTGAGGCTAAACCAGCCTCAGCATATTAATGAGATCCTGCCTTAAAATGGAAATTATAAAGGACTAGGGATGTAGCTCAGTGGGAGAGCAACCCTGAGTTCAATCCCCAATACTAAAAAGAACTCAGATTTCTTGTCTCCTATATAGACGTTTCTCCCATCTTCTCCACTTGCTAGAAGATCACCTACTTACTGCTGGGTTTAGGAGCACAGGAAAGAGAGAATGTAAAGCTAATCTTATTCACCTGTAAAGCAGTGACTCCACCTATAATGCAAGGGTGAGAGATCACCCACATTATAATTGGCTTGAACCCAGAGACACTCCCAGCTATCCCTGGGCAGTTGGGTAAGATGGCACCTAGTCAGGCCTGCCTTTTCTCTACCATGCAGGGGAGTAGATGGGGAAAACATAGCCTAAGTAGAGGCACTGGGAAGAAGGGAAGAAGAGACTTACTGCGAATGAAAACATGGACTTAAAGACAGTTCTGGCTCAGCTTCCCTGATGGTTATTTTGGAGGGTGGGAGTTAGAAAGTAAATAATAGGCCAGTTACACTGTCATACACCTATGATCCCAGCTAGCTACTGAAGAGGTGGAAGCAGGATTATTGCATGTTTGAGGCCAGCCTGAATAACTTAGTGAGATGCTGTCTCAAAGTAAAACTAAAAAAAAGAACTGGGACTGTAGCTTAGTGGTAGACTGTTTGCTTAGCATGTGTTCACCTCTGGGTTCAATGCCCAATACAAAGAGAAAGAGGAAAGCCAGGCAGAGTGGTGTACGCCTGTAATCCAGCAGCTCAGGAGGTGGAGATGGAGAATTGTGAGTTCAAAGCCAGCCTCAGCAAATTAGTGAGGCACTAAGCAACTCAGTGAGACTGTCTCTAAATAAAATACAAACTAGGGCTGGGGGATGTGACTCAGTGGTCAAGTGCCTCCAAGTTCAATCTCCAAAAAACCCCACCACCACCCCCCAAAAAAAAGAGGGGGAAAAAACAAAGAACATGGGAAGATCTATCAGAACACAAAATACAGAACCTTCCTTTTTTAAAAAACCAGTTATAACCAGAATAGTTACTCAAGAGACTAAGGCAGAGAATCACAGGTTCAAGGCCAGTCTTGGCAACTTACCAAGACCCTCATCAACTTAAGGAGAAACTATCTGAAAATAGAAAATAAAAAACAGGGGCTGGGGGTGGGATGGGGTTGTGGTTCAGTGGTAGAGCGCTTGCCTAGCATATATGAGACACTGGGTTCTCAGCACCAAACACAAATAAATAAGTAAAGGTCCATCAATAACTAATTAAAAAAAAAATTTTTTTTTTTAAAGGGGGACTACTGGGGATATAGCTCAGTTGGTAGAGTGCTTGCCTTGCATACACAGGCCCTGGGTTCAGTCCCCAACATCACAAAAAAAGGGGGTGCTGGGGATGTAGCTCAGGTATAGTGTGTCCCTGGGTTCAATCCCTTGTTATTTTGTGGAGTTCTTTTAAGATTTTTTTTTAAAGATGGACACAATATCTTTATTTTAATTTTTATGTGGTGCTGAGGATCGAACCCAGTGCCTTGCACGTGCTAGGCAAGCACTTTACCACTGAGCCACAACCCCAGCCCCATCAATCCCTTGTTATATAAAAACAAAAAAACCCCAAAATAAACCCATAAAAAAACTCAGTTCCTTACCATATTTACATTTCTTACTTGAGATTACCCTATCCCTTTTCTGAAAGTTCTTACACAATTCTCTTTTGGAGGAACCCCTGAAAAATGGGTAAGGGTTGGATAGGAAGGTCTCTCATTCCATTTCCAATCAAGTGAGCCAGGATCTTACTTACCTAAGATCTAATGTCTTTCTTGTTTCTTCCTTTACAGTCCCCATCTTCACAGGTATTCCTGTCTGTTTTAAACACTTAATGTTGTGAGGGAGCTGGCTGTCCCAGCCCCTAAGACTTCTTTACCCTTTTACGTCTCAGCTGTTGCTCTGGCCTCTGAGGAGGAGGAGGTGTAGAAGGGAGGTAACCTCATCTTCAAACAGGTTTTGCCACCTCACCTCCCAAGGAGCCGGTTTTCCCAAAAGAAAAGCCCTGCCTCCTTGTGGGGGCGGGTTTTGGGGAGGAGAGTATGTTTTCCAGAGTGGCTAGTTTTGGGTGAGTCTAAGAAGGCAATTTGTTCTTCTTTTCAGATTGTTTTTTTTTTTTTAATTTTAAAAATATATTTTTTAGTTGTTGATAGACCTTTATGTACTTGCTTATTTATATGTGGTACTGGGAATCAAACCTAGTGCCTCACATGTACGAGGCAAATGCTCTGCCACTGAGCTTCAACTCCAGCCTCTCCTCTCCAGATTCTTTTTTTTTTTAAATCATTTTTATTGTTGTTGTTTATTTATTTATTTTTTTATGTGGTGATGGGGATTGAACTCAGGACCTCATGCATGCTAGGCAGGAACTTTACCACTGAGCTATCTCCCCAACCCTCCAGATTCTTTATAACCTTCTGGAAGCTGCTTTAAAAGCATGGTGTGGGGTGGGGGGCAACAGTACAAAAACCATTTTGTTTGTAAGACTATATCCTTGGGCCTATTTTTCAAGGATAAGCAAAACTGGGAAGAAAGAAGTATAAGACTGGTTCTAGGAAAAGAAACAAAGGGAAGAAAAGAAGATGAGGGGAGACAGAGCTGGCTGCTCTTATTCCTTAAAGAAGACCAGAATCTGGGTGCAGTGGTGCAAACTGTAATCCCAACTGTTCAAAAGGCCAATGCAGGAGGGTTCCAAATTTGAGGTCAACCTAGGCAGCTTAGTGAGACCCTGTCTCAAAATAAAAAAATTTCAAAAGGGCTGAGTGGGGAATGCCCTGGGTTCAATCCCCAGTACAATTTAAAAAAAAAAAAAAAAAAAAGGAGGAGACAACAAGTACAGTAGGAAGAAAGGAGATGAATCTGTAGGAAGCTAACAATTATTAAATTTGAAGGGGAAAGCCTTGTTATAGTTGTAAAAAGAGACAATAAGACCCCAAAGAGGAAAAAAGTCTTTTAATATTTAACAAAATGCAAAATAAAGTACCTAAATTACAAAACATAAATTCCTTTGGTTCAGTGATCACACCACTATTTTTACCTTCCAAATAGCTATAGGCTTCATATCCTTAAACTGAACTCAGAGTGCCCTGTCACACTAGAAGAGGTCATGCCAAAACCATCATGTACCCCACTGTTTGGTGGAATTGCTGGCAACTTACATGGGGTAAGCAAAAGGAGGAGTGGGTTGATCTGAAGATAAAAAGGAGACTCTACACATGCAGAACAAGTCAGTGGGCAGGAACTTTTTGCTGGGTCACTATGATATGTATGAATTACATCCCTGTACATGCTACATGAGGCTAATTCCCTTGGTACAATCACACATAAATACATTCCAGTGACCCTGAGCATTCCCAGGGAAAACAAGAAAAATACAGAGAAGAGGAGAGAGAAAGGATGGTAGCAAGCAGCACATTACAGAAGACCAGGGAACATCTAGTCTAAACCCTGTTTTACAGATGGGGAAAATGAGACCTAGAAGTACAGTGTCTTGCCAAGATTCACAATTTATGGCAGTATCAGAACTCCATGCTTTCTTTTAACATGAACAAAAAGAGAACAAGATGGACAAGAAATTCATAGACCCACTAAGGCAAAGGAGAGACCCAGAGTTCTCATTCCACTTCTGCCATCTTTAGGGAAAGTGTCTATGAGGTCTTAGGACCTTCCTCGGTGCCTCCTGAATGCAAAAAAAAAGTAGGTGTCTTCAGTGAGTTTTCAGGATTCCTGTGGCTCTGGAACAGAAGGATCTAAAGAAAAAGAGCCAGGCCACCTAATCAGGACAGATGACAATGGCCTCCAACTTGTTCCCAAATTAAGATCTAAAACAGTCACAATAAGCTCAAAATAGAAATTTAGTCATCTCTGAAACACACACCATCACCTAATGGGTGGGCAGAAAGAAGAGTCACAGAGTTGAAATCTGCTGAAGGCTAAAAACTGAAATAAATTTTCTAAGCACACTCTTTTCTATCTAGCTTAAAACAGGTCTTCAATAAACACTGAATAAGTGAATTCATGCAGAGAATGAACATTTGGTTCCATGACAGATATTGGTTCTGTTCAAGATCCTTACTGGGGGTCCTTTTAGGGTCTATATTCTTCTTGTCCCTCTCTGCTAAGACAGTGGGTATATCACATTATGCCCTGACAAATGAAGAGGAAAGCCAGTGCAGATTTAAATAATAAAATTAAATAATACAGCTTGTTGGATAGAGACTGAGGGAAAGGCAGAAAGCCATTAGTGAATCAGCTACTTTTTTTCCCTTCTTTCTCCTCCCATTATGAGAACAGTACACCAGATCCTGGAGCAATGAACACATGACTGCTGACATCTCCAAACATCTCAAAACATGCATTTGAGGTGGGTCAAGCAACCTCTCCCACTATCTCTTCCTTTCCCAAGAGTTACTTATTTGACAGGGAGGCAGTGGTAGACTGGGACAGTGAGATCTGACTGCACTTCTCAAAGACTGCCTCAGCCGAGAGCTTAGGCAGCCCCTGATCCAGAGGGCACTCATCCACCAAGCTGTTCATGGGTGTGGGGGGCAGTGGAGGATCCTCCTCATCTTGACTTAGTCCAGAAATCAGAGCGTGGCCTGCCCTGTCCAAATCCTTGTCCACCTGTTCCCTGGACACACCCACTGTCTCAGGCTGCCCTGAAGGTATCTTTGTGGAGTCAAAATATGTTGACAGGGCTTCCTGGAGCAGAGGCAGAAGTTTCTTTCGAGAGACCTGGGTATTGCCTTGAAGATAGGCTTGGAGGTTAGGGTGGGTGTTTGGGACAAGGGTCAGCTTCAGAGGTGGGGAATGAGAGCGTTCCAGGACTTCACAGATCTACAGAGGAGACAAGAATGGGAAACAATATATAATGTGGTATAGCAAAGGGCTGAAGCTTCTAAGTGAGATGCTTGCAACAGAGAAAAAAATTAATTACATCATTTAGACTTCAATTTTACTGCTTGCAATAAAAAAATATTTCTAACATAACACAGTATTTTTTTTATTTATTTATTTTTAATATTTATTTTTTAGTTTTCAGTGGACACAACATCTTTATTTTATTTTTATGTGGTGCTGAGGATCGAACCCAGCACCCTATGCATGCCAGGTGGGCACGCTACTGCTTGAGCCACATTCCCAGCTCTACACAGTATTTTAGAAACAGAACATTTTAGATCACATATATCATTTCGCTCCTCATTAATGAGGAAACCAAAGCAAAAATCATGTGAATGCTGGTAGGTTCTGAACCAGAATCCAGAATCCCCGTTTTTACTATGGTTGTTGCCAACACACTTGAACTCTGTCCTTAGCTAAATGGGATAAGCCCCTATTCAGAGATCTGGGGAATGACTGAGGTAAAAAGAATGAGTAGAACAAAACAAGAGTGGAAAACAGACAAAGCACAGAGTATGGCCACTTAGAATTATCTCATTTAATACAACTACCTCATAAGATCTGTATTTCTGGGGCTGGGGTTATGATTCAGTAGTACAGCACTTGCTTAGTATGTACCAGGCCTTGCAACACACTCACACACAAAACAAGATTGGTATTACAATTACCCTCACTTAGGGGTAGAGAAATTGAGACTTAGGAAGATTAGGCAACTTGCCTAAGATCATGGTTTGTATGAAGCAAAAATTACAATTGAATCAGGTTTATCACTAAAGCTAGTGTTCAAATCAATATACTACCCCTAACATAGGAGGAAGAAAGGCAGTTACAGGGCAGATTATGAAAAGGGGACTGTTTCTCAACACAGAGGCATCCTGGGCAATGGGAGAAGTCATCAAACATCTGCATGGCTTCAAGACTGGCAGAGAGGGCTGGGGTTGTAGCTCAGTGACACACCGTTTGTCTAGCATGTGTTAGGCAATGGGTTCGATTCTCAGCACCACACATAAATAAATAAATAAATAACAAACCCCAGCACCACAATAAATAAATAAATAAAAATAAAAATAATAAAGGTCCATTGACAACTAAAAAGAACAAAGAATGGCAGAGAGGGGACTAGATTTCAGAAGGTAGAAGTGTATTTCTTATAACCAAAGCACATTTTCCCTCATGACATCATTGGTAAAAGCCACCAAGTTGTGAGCACTTACTCCAAGCCAAGCAATGTATTTTATGTATGATATTATGTTAATGGCCATATCAAACTAACCAGTGGATGCTATTATGGTATTTACAGACTCAGAAGTCAATTGACTTGCCTTAACTCAAAGGGCCAATAAGTGATAAATTTTGGACAGAAAAGCACATCTACTTGATCAAAAACAAAAACAAACAAACAAAAACTAGTTCTTGTAGGGTGTGATGTACACACCTGTAATCCCAGCTACTTAGGAGGCTGAGGCAGGAGGATTCCAAGTTCAAAGCCAGCCTCAACAACTTAATAAGACCCTGTCACAAAACAAGATAAAATTAAAGGCTGGGAATATAGCTCAGTGGTAGAGCACTTATCTAGCATGTGTAAGTCCCAGGATGTAAGATAGAAAAACAGAACTGGGTATGGTGATACAGGCCTGTAATCTCAGCAATGTGGGAGGCTGATGCAGGAGGATCACAAGTTTGAAGCCAGATTTAGCAATTTAGTGAGGCCCTTAAGCAACTAGTGATACCCTGTCTCAAAATAAAAAACAAAAAGGGCTAGGGATGTGGCTCAGTTGTAAAGTGCCCCTGGGTTCAATCCCTGGTATCAAAAAGGAGAGAGAGGGAAGGAGGGAGGCTGTGAGGAATGAATGAATGACTGGAGATTTAACCCAAGAGTACTTTACCACTGACAGACATATCATAGCCATTCATTCATTCATTCCATTCATTCATTCATTCATTCATTCATTCAGAGATAGGCCTCACCGAACTGCTGAGGCTAGACTCAAATTCGCGATCATGGGGCTCAGGATGTGGCTCAAGTGGTAGCAGGCTTGCCTGACATGTACGGGGCGCTGGGTTTGATCCTCAGCACCACATAAAAATAAAAATGTTGTGTCCACAACATTTTATAAATATGTGGACACATATTTATAAATGTGTCCACATATTTATATGTGGACATAAAGATGTTGTGTCCACCGAAAACTAAAAACTAAATATTAAAAAAAAAAGATATTGTGTCCATCTAAAAACTAAAAGATCCTCCTGCCTCAGCCTCCCAAGTTGCTGGGATTACAGGTGTCTACCACTGTGCTCAATTCCCAGATATACCTTTTTTTTTTTTAAAGTTGTACATGAACACAATACCTTTGCTTTATTTCTTTATTTTTATGTGGTGCTGAGGATCGAACCCAGGGCCTCGCATGTGCTAGGCGAGCGCTCTACCACTGAGCCAAAACCCCAGCCCCTAGTTATACGTTTTGTAACAAAGGATTATCTAGACAGTCTTCCAGTTCAGAGCTATAGAACATATATACCTTTAGAGATCCTCGTATAGTCCAGGTAACATGTCCCTAGACAGCCTTTAAAATTTTCCTCTAAGCTAATCAGTAACCAACAGGAATACAAAGGGGAGGAATTGGAAAAGGTAGCCAAATGGAAGATAGGAAAGAGAATAAACCTGGTACTTGATCACTTCTCCAGACTGAACATAATTAATTATTCCCTGCATGGTGAGTAGTAGACAAGGTTTCTCTCTGGTATTTCTTTCTTTTGTCCTCCTCTCCCCACCCCACCCACCACTGCTGGGGATGGAACCCAGTGCCTCACACAAGCAAGGCCAGCACTCTACCACTGAGCTACATACCACCTCTCCCCACATTGTGTTTCTGTTAAAGCAACAGAGCAGAAAGAAAAGAACTGATTTTTTAGAGTTGAAGAATTAATGATTAAACCAAGAATCAAGTTCTAACTCCAGATTTATAACATTTCCTTCTAATCACATTTCACGATCCTTCTAAACAGGAACTGTATCTCTAATTCTCTTTGTCTCTAGAAAGAGTCAAAGAGTCACTGTGAAAAGGTGGCAAGAACTAAGGACAGCCTTCCAGTGCAGAGCCATGGAACGTGGAGAACATATGGGCAAGTGCTGGGAGGACCTCAAGTTAGGGCAGGGACTCACCATCATTCGAAGGGCCACATGGGGGCAGAAAATAGCCAACTGTCGCACTGGCTCATTATGAGTGTTGAAAAAGATAGTCATGGCGACCAGAGCATCATAGCTGTGAGCCTGGCAGAAAGCACCGAGATCTGCAAGCAGGTTGGGCCTCTGCAGAAAGGCCTGAAAGAGAAAAAACGGAGAGGGATGAGGGCTACAGCTTGACCCTTCTTGTCAACATCAATGAAAAATCCTTATGAAGGATTTCTTTGCCTGTTAACTCATGACTTGTGCTCCATTAAAAAGGTACCTACTATTTAGTATATACACATGCTGGGAGGCAAAGAGAAAGAATGGGTAATAAAGGCTTTGGGTTAAGACAGAATTAGTTTGAAAATAATCTCTATTACCTATATGATCAAGGAGACAACATTGTCAAACATATTTGTTTTGGGAAAATTAAAACAAGAAGCTAGGTGCAATGGCACAAGGCTGCTATCCCAGTGGCTCAAGAGGCTGAGGCAAGAGGATCTCAAGTTCAAGGCCAGCCTCAGCAACTGAGTAAGACCCTGTCTCAAAATTTTAAAATAAGGGCTGGGGATGTGGCTCAAACGGTAGCGCGCTCGCCTGGCATGCGTGCGGCCCGGGTTCAATCCTCAGCACCACATACCAACAAAGATGTTGTGTCCGCCGAGAACTAAGAAATAAATATTAAAAATTCTCTCTCTCTCTCTCTCTCTTAAAAAAAAAAAAAAAATTCTCTCTCTCTCTCTCTCCTCTGTCACTCTTAAAAAAAAAAAAAAAATTTAAAATAAAACGGACTGGGGATGTAGCTCAGTAATACTGCAAGCCTTAGCTTCAAATCCCAGTACCAAATAAATAAAATAATTTTTTTGAATTTTTATATTTTTAATAAAGGTATTGTGTTCATTTACAACTAAAAAAAATTTTAAGAATATTCACAGATATATACAGTTTAGTAAAAAGCAGAGAAGGGAAGTTCTAGAAAGAGTCAAAGAGCCACTGTGTAAAGGCAAGAACTAAGGACAGCCTTCCAGTTCAGAGTCATGGAATAATGAAAGGGTCTGGGGTTGTGGCTCAGTGGTAGAGCACTTGCCTAGCGCATGCAAGGCTGTGGGTTCGATCCTCAGCACCATATAAAAATAAATAAATAAAATAAAAGTTATTGTATCCAACTACAGCTAAAACAAAATATTTTTAAAAATTTTAATATTTTTAGTTGTAAATGAACACAATACATTTATTTTTATTTATTTATTATTATGTGGTGCTGAGGATTGAACCCAACGCCTCACACATGCCAGGCAAGTGTTCTACCACTGAACTACAACCCCAGCCCCCAAACAAAAATTTTTAAAAAGAGCTGGGAAGGGTTGTGGCTCAGTGGTAGAGTACTCACCTGGCACGTTTGAGGCACTGGGTTAGATCCTCAGCACCAAATAAAAATAAATAAATACAATAAAGTTATTATGTCTAACTACAACTAAAAAAAACTATATATATATATATATTAAAAAAAAAGAGCTGGGGATGAAGTTCCAGTGGTAGAGTGTCCCTGGGTTCCAACTCTAGTACTATAAAACAAACAAACAAAAAAAACCCCACCATTATTAAAGTTACATTCTGCCACTCATTCAACAAAATTAACTGTTTGAGACGTGATCTCAAAACAAAACAAAATGAACTAAGGACATATGTTAGTGGAGGAATGCTTGCTTAGCATAAGCAAGGCTTTATATTCAATCCTGGTACCTGCCTCCACACAAATTAATTGTTACAGATTTTTTTTATTGTTATTTTTGGGTTTTTTCCTTTTTTTTTAACATTTTTTTTTCACTTGTCAATAGATATTTTATTTATTTATATGTAGTGGTGAGAATCGAACCCAGTGCCTCACACATGCCAGACAAGTGCACTAGTGCTGACCTGCAACCCCAGCCCATTTTGGGGGTTTTTGAGATAGGGTCTCACTATGCTGCCCAGGCAGGCCTTGATCTCTTGGGTCAAGTAATCCTCCCACATCAGCCTTTCAAGGGTCAGGAACTACAAGTGTGTGCCACCAATGCCCAATTGGAGATTTTTTGAGCCTGGGGATATTATTTCAGTTTGGGTGGTCAGGAAAAACCTCTCAAAACAGGACACATGTGAGCTGAGGCATGAATGATAAGAAGCAGCAAAGAGAAAACCAAGTTCAAAGAGCCAGAGTTGAGAATAAACTTAACAGTCTGAGGAAAGAAAAGAGAAAGAAAACCATTGTGGCAGACAAATAGGGCCTTGTAAGTCAAAGGAAGGCTGGCAGATTTTATTTGAAGTACAATGAAGGGGTCTGGGGTTTGGCTCAGTGGTAGAGCACTCACCTAGCATGTGCAAGGCTGTGGGTTGGATCCTCAGCTCCATGAAACCAGGGCCTTATAGGTCCTAGGCAAGTACTACACCACTGAGCTATATTCCTAGCCCTTCTATTTATTATTTTGAGATAGGCTCTCACTGAGTTGCCCAGGTTGGCCTGGACCTTGTGATCTTCCTCATGCTTCAGTTACCTGAACAGCTGAAATTAAAGGATGTGCCACCAAGCCCAACTTAATTTATGTATTAAAAAGATCTGACGCTGGGGTTGTGGTTCAGCAGTGGAGTGCTCACCTAGCACATTCGAGGCCCTGGGCTCAATTCTCAGCACCACATAAAAAATTTAAATTAAAAAAAAAAAAAAAAATCACTCTCATTCTCGTTGCTATGGGAAAAATGGTTTTTAAGGATGCAAAAGTGGAGGCAGGGAAGCTAGTATATGGGCTATTACAGAGTACAGTGAGAGGTGATGAATTATGAGGGTCACAGAGAAAATAGAATTGAGTAGACGGGGACAGAGATATACACAATACAGAGGTAAATCAATAATGAGGAGCAGAAGAGAAACAGGGGAAGAAGGGGAAGAAAAGGAGAGGTAATGAGGAATGAAACTGATCTAAATATGTTCTATATGGGTATAAATGTCGCATGAATCCCACTATAGTGTATAATCATAATGCACCAATTAAAAAAATAAATGAGGGAGCAAAGTTATATATATAATTTAAAGTTTTCCCTTCCCATCAACATCTGCAACTTGGTCTTACCTCCAGATCCATGTATACTGCACTAATGGCCACTTTGGTACCTTGCCTATGGATGGTCTTCTGGTCCTTTCTCAGTATCTGTTCAGTGGTCAGCCCTAAAAAGTGGATGTAAGACTATGAGTCAAACAGGGAACCCAAGGTCCTAACACCAGGTAGATGAGGACAAGGAAAAAAAAAAAAAAACATAGCCTCTCTTAGGGGCAATGAACAGAGGAGAGCAATGAAAATTTACCGCCCCCCCCCCCGATTTTCCCCTTTTTTGTACTGTTTTAACTTTCTAAAAGTACATGTGGAGTTTGGTGTTGTGGTACATGCCTATCATCTCAGCTATTTGGAAAGTGAGGCACAGATTTTTGTCTGGAATACACAGACACTCTGACTCAAATAAATAAGATCACTCTAAATAAATAAACAAATGGATAAATAAAAGTATTTGTAGGGGGCTGGGGTTGTGGCTAAGTGAGAGAGTACTCGCCTAGCATGAGTGAGGCACTGGATTTGATCCTGAGCACCACATAAAAATAAAGGAAAAAGTACAAGGCAGACAGTGTTTAAAACAAACATGTAGTACTTTTCATTCTTTCCTTACATCTTTCGTTCTCCTTTTTTACATCAGGTAGTAGTTGAGTAGAAGATGATAGAGGTTTTTTTTAGTTCTCTTCCTTTGTCCTTTGTATATTCATTCTAAATGTTTCTTCTGCCTCTCTATCCAATTATATAGCTTTTGCTCTGATAATTTACTTTCCCTCAGTATACTTTATTTATCTGTTCTATGTTCTCTGATTAGACTGGAACCTCTAAGACTATTCCTCCTCATTCTTCCTAAGATCCAGGATAAAACATTCCAATAAATGACTGATCAGTTCATAAACATACTAATATGATGCCTCCTTTCTCTCTGGTATAAAGTGTAAATCCTTATGCATGCTCTGGAATTGTTTTGATTGCATTCACGAATACAATGAAAAAAGCTTGCCCACTTGCTTTCTCATGTGGGAGGTAGAGAATTCAGCTTGACACTTCATACCTGATACATCAAACTTTGCCTTTTGTAGAGAATCAAAAATGTCATTTCTCTTAGGCAGATCTGGGAAGAGGGCCTCCAGTTTCTCCACGTATTCATTGTCCTTTGGGGTTGCCTTTCCAATTTTAATGTCCATGTTGACACAGTCCAAGATGATGGTTCCTATTGAGAAGGAGGATGGCAGAACTTAAATCATGTGAGCTCCATTCACAACCACCAGAACACATATAACCTTCAAATCAAATGGGCACAATACAGAGGAGATTTGCAGAGCAAACTCACTGAAAATAAAACAAGAAACTGGGACTATGTTGTAAGATTTCCGGATTCCAGGCAAGGAAATAGAGAAAAAGTGGAAAGGAAGCCTGAATATCTCAATCCTTGGAGATGCTGCAACCTTGTTACAGAGAGGACATCTTTTTCTTTTTGGTTTGGGGGGGTACTGGGAAATGAATCCAGGGGCACTTAACCACTGAATCACATCCCCACTCAACCACCCTTTTTTTCTATTTTTTTTTTTTTTT